TGGAGGAGAAGGCAGAGGAGGGCCAGAAGTGGCCTGTTGTTGAGTCATGTCAGTTGAGTGACTGGAGGGTCCCCGCTGTGGCGATATGGAAGTGGAATCAATACCACGGATGCCCATGCCCAGGCCCAGGCTGAGGCTCAAGCCCGCCTGCAGGTTTCCAAAGTACTTGTAAGGACACACACGCACATACACACTGACTGACCCACTCTCAGAGGCAGTGCGTCGGTGACAATAAATGAGTAAAAATGACTTTACGAAACGAAAACGAAATAACGCACCGACAGACAAAATCTGTCATCAGCACGCTGGCAGTAACGAGCGACAGATACAGATAGAGTGAGGCGTTCTCTCAGATACTCACGCACACTCACAGTCATGAAATTCGATCCGATTCCCTGCGTCAGTGGTCCCAGGAGGGGTGGGAGGAGGCGCAGGATACATAGGACGGTCCTTAATTTCCATTTAATATTTTTTCCTCGACCTCTCGGTTCTTGGTGTGAGCCTACGCAGTTAAAAATAGTCATAATTTAGTATAATTTGTAGTACCCCGATATGTTAGTCCAACCAATAGGGGGTTTCTTAATAGATACGATGATGCAATCCTCCCCTATGGCTTGATGGTTGTCCTTTCTTTTGGGTTTAGTGCGTCAAAGTGATGCTTCTTCCCTCCTCCCTCCTCCAAGAGTTTCTCCCTGAAATGCATACCTGTCCTAATCCTAGGGATGCCGCATGTAGCATGCGCATGCAGCAACATATTTCATGGCTCTCCCGTGCCAAAAAACAATGCGAGGCTTTCAGTAGATCTCTACCTGACCCTAAAATGCAGAAAACAAAGCCAGCACAACATCTCGACTCGGTACGCTGTGCACCTGGGACTAGAACGAGGTAGGTGGACTGGGTGGAACTACAGCACATGTTTCGGATTCTCGACTCTGGATTTTATGATTTTGTGAAACATTTTACAACTTACATGGAAATTATGCTGCAGCAGTGAGTGTGCCCTTTGGGTGATGCTGTTTATCATTTTGTTTTTTTTTGGTCTCGGAATCAGGTTTAGAAACGAGACATCCACAGATTAAATAATGCCGAGCTTTGTGTTTGTTCATCTCGAGATAATGCGCCCACACGGTGTCGAGATAATGATAAATTCGAGATGAATAAGGCAGGCGAGGCGCCAATGTAATAAAAACACAAAAATATTGCATTGAAATCCTCAAGCTTGATCAAATAGAGCGGAGCATAATCTGGTACGCATCGCGTAGAGGTATAGGTGGGATATATTTATGGAGGTTGGGACTTACACTTGATAGTCATCGTCACTTGTCCCTGAAAAGCAAGAGGAAAATGAATTCGGGGCACAAATTGAATTTGATTGTTCAAGTAGTCGGTCCGGGCCCCTGAATCTCTATAGCGAATGTAAATCAGAGACGATCCATCCCTCAGCCCCCGTCCGACTCGCTTTTATTCAAATTCCAGCTCAGAAACAGCTGCTACACTTCATTACCATAAGGTTTGTTCGGGCCGGCAGCACTCCCACTCCGGGATATGCAATTTGATGTGTGATTATGCCTTCTTGTTGCTTATCAAAATGAAAATTCAAATTCCACTATAAGAGCACTTTGTTTACAACGCCCAGGCCCATATCCATACCCAGTCCCAAACAGCAGCAGCAACATCAAAATCAACATCAACAACAGCAGCAACACTTGGAGAGCTGCAGAAGTGACACTTCCAAGAGATTAAAGTGACATGTAGTGGTCCGTGTATATATATTGGGGCTACCCAGCCCAGCCTGGCCCGGCCCGGCCCCTCCGGGCTAACCGGGCTGACGGACTGTCTGGAAAACGGATAGGCCGACACCTTTTTCTCCACTCGAAAGTAGGGAAAGTCGGCGGCGGGGGAATTAAGAGCCGAGTACAAGTATTTGCTGGGTTCCATGCATAGATTAATAAATTATAAGCCTATTGCTCTGAAAGGAGCCGGGAGTCGCTATGATAACACTCAGAAAAAAGTAGCTTCCCTCTTTCATGATTTCCGGGGATTTCTTAGAGCCGGTTTGTAGTCTTTCGCTCAGTGCTGTTGCCGCTACCCTTCTGACTTTCTTTTCAAGCCAGCTCCTGGGGGACAACGGCAGCCAGTCAGTCCCCAGGGCATACATCTCCGAGACCCGCCCTTTCTTTTTCTTCGCCCCCGCCTCCGGAGTGCCTGAATGTGGAGCAATTAATGTTTGTGTTTTGTCATTTCATGCCCGACTCTGGCCCGACTCAGTGCTCCCCTTGAAATAATCCATGCTGGATGTTGTTTTTGTGTTTCTTACATTTTATGCGCATAATTAAGCCGGTGTATCCGTAAAAGCATGCGACACTTCCGGCTTGGATGCCGGACCACTGCCGTCTGGTCACAATGAGGAGTCCCCGTCCGAGCTTCGTCTTTGTAATGCTTCTGCTTTCAGCTTCAATACATTTATTTTATAATACTCTGCTCCGAGCAGTGACCACGATTCTTCGCTGAACTCTTTTCCGGTGGAGCAGCCTCTGGTGGGAGTGGGGGTGGGAAAGCACAGTCGGAAATGCCAAAGCACGGGCAGTCCTGACTCGAACTATGACGTATCTATGACCCCACTCCTAGCCAATCATGGGTATCTATCCTACAATTATCGTTTTAAAGCCTTTTTCAATTCTGACAGGGAGTCTGTTCTTTATCATTTTCGGATGGTTTATGGTACCATAATTGTGAGGATACTTGAGCGGACACTAATTGAGGTTCTGGTCCTCTCCACAGAGACGAGAAACAAAAAACAAATCTATAAATGTTTGTTGGCTACTGAACCTACTGATTCCCCGAAACCGAATTCTAGATGGTTTTTATCTCCTCCTCCATCTGGTGTATTGATTGTTTGCACTTTGTTTTCCGTTTCTGCTTTGTCAACAGTTTCCCCACATCCCATCCAGCCAGAAAGTGTGGCATGGGGATGTGTGTGTGTTTTTTGTCGTCCGTCCCATTGATTAAGACCCCCGACATGAACTCCATATGCAGCTTGGCATGTTTGACTTCTGCCACGAAGCTGGCTCCGGCCTAATCCCTAGGAGAACTCTGATATGGCTTATCTCCGACTCGAAGAAGGGGAGAACGATTTTGACACATATGTACACAGGCCGGGAGATACACAACACCGCCCACTCCGTATTGGCCACTTTCATATAAGCCACAAAAAAACAAATCACTCCAGCGCTGAGGCACTCATGTCCCTAGGAGCATTATTTGAATTAAGTGCATACTTAAGCGTAATTTATTGGAAAATCCACAAGGGCCTCCAGGCGGGCAGTCAGTCCTCAGAGGGCCCAGTCAGTACCCACCATAAACCGCCCACCATAAATTGTGGCCTATTGTTTCAGTGGAGAGGTCGTCTCATTAATCCGGTCTCATCTATTTCGGCTTGAGTCTTCCATCAGCATCTAAGAGCAAATTGCAGCGAGAAACAGTCGCTTCCATTTCAATTTGCGACTGGCCCGATGCCTGCTGCCTGCTGCCAGTTTCCAGTTCTGGCCCCCAACTTCTAAGGCCCCTGTCTAGCTGGCCCCCACCTCCTCCTCGGGCTCAAGAAGAACGAGTTATTGGCATGCATTGAATTTTCTTCGGAATTTTTGTAGTTCTGCCAGCTAGGGTTGGCTGGGGTCTGGCAGGCGGCGGGCAAAAAAGTAGACAATCAGTGGCATGTATAGAATTTCACTGATTTATGTTTCATATGAGCCGGCTATGGGCCCTGCGAGGATTCCCCCCGGGCCAGAAGGGGGCATCAAAGGAGGATCTATCCCTCGTCCGGGTGACAATGCAGTGATTACGCTCGGCAGAGGACACATACTCCGGTACGCACTCCCCCGCAATTTCCGTGATGCGAATGGCATGCCTTTTGAAAAATACTTCCTTCGGAGGGAAGCCAGCAGAGGAGGAGGAGAGTTGATAAATTTTTGATTAAAGGCCTCCGAGCCCCCTACATATACATATTTACGTACAATATGCATTCCTCTTGTGTGGAAAAGCTCCGCTCGAATTACGTTTGACATTCAATTGAGTTTAAGTTGATTGCCAGTTAAGCGGAGCGGGATGCTACTGGTGATTGCTGATTACTCAGTTATCGAATAACCGAAAAAGCAATCGCGGCTGTCATTTATCCAAATGTTAATTTAAACAATTATACTGGGAGAGCGGATAGATATGTAGAGCCTCCTCATGTCAATTTTCTAATTAAGTCAACAACATGACAGGCCACCGCCATGAAGGATAGCGACAGATTGGCCACAGAGCCAAATATAGACCGAATCTTCGGAGCTGGCCCGGGAATGTAAATGAAGAATGGCACTTGGAGAGGCCTCACCAGAGGGTCATTAAAACATATTGATGTAATTGGGCCAGGGGGATAAGTGGAAGAAGAATAATAAATCGAAAATCAAACAGTGAGACTCCTCGTTCCATAACTCTACCTTGGAGGGGAATTCTTCCCACCATTTGACATCCAGAGAACTGACAATTATGGGTTCCCATAGGTGGGTAGGTCCCTCCGCTACCAGGCACTCCGACAGGTGTTTCCGGGGGTTGAAGTTGCTTAAACAAACATCAAGAGAGAGGCTAGTACCATCCCAAACTTTTGCCACTCGCCTGGGTTATGGTATATAAATACTCACATAACATAGAGTTCTAAGTGAAATAAATACACGGCGCACCGTTTAAATTTAAACGCAATTTCCTGCTGGCTAGCTGGCTGGCTGCCGAATGCATAGATGATTTTTCATGATTTTCCGACACATTCTTTCCGTTGCAGATGCGCCCCGCTGAAACCGGTGATGATGATAAAGTTGCTGCCGGCTCGCTTTGGGCTTAGCTGCTGACAGCCAAGTGCACGGCACTGGTCCGGTATCTCACTCTGGAGATACTCGAACAAAGGAAAGCAAAAGTGCATTTCCTGCTAATTCACCAAGGGTTCTACCTACCCTGTACCCTGAAGCCAGTACCCAGTACCCGCAAGGTTCCTACCTACTTCTCGCTGGACTCGGACTCAGTCGTTTCGAGGCACTCGTTACTTTCAGACGCCGGGCTCGAACAGACGGCAGCTGCTGTTATCCGCACAGTTTGGTCAAGAGACGCGTTCGCGACGGCCGCCGAGAGAGAGCGGCTTCCGCTGGAGACTACGGACGAGCGAGAGCTCCCCCACCTTGCGAGGATATTGAAGTGAAGTGAACCATAAACCGTGAACCGGGTCTAGTGAGGGGCCAAGGCCTCATCAATCCTTTCCTCGCCAAATATTTGCCCGGTCCTGTTGACAAAGTGGATTGCCATTCGGGGGCGACACTTTCAATTAGGCACGTTGCCGCTTCATCTTCTTAAATGTGCCACAATGGCCGCGCCGTCCAGGACGACGACGTCGAAGCCACCCCCCTTCCGAGCCCTGATTTCCCTTCTGCTCCTGTTCATCCTGCGGCATGATGAAGTGTACGCGGAGCCATACGCCGGAGGCTTTGGCAGCTCCGTCTCCAGTGGCGGCCTCGGTTCGGTTGGCATCCACATACCTGGCGGCGGAGTCGGTGTCATTACGGAGGCTCGCTGCCCGAGGGCCTGCTCCTGCACAGGACTAAGTGTGGACTGCTCCCACAGAGGACTCACCTCGGTACCCAGGAAGATTTCAGTGGATGTGGAAAGACTGTAAGTATCCCAGTTATGTATAGATATCCCTTAGACAATATCTATTGAACCAACAGGGGACCCCCAGCCATTATTATTTCCTGTCGATACTTTGAGAGTCCATCGATTGTCTGGACAACTGCATGACAAATTCCAATTACTAGGGGACTTTCCATCCCAATCCCCCCTCCATTTGGAAACAGTGCTCACTATTCAACAATAATGCCGGACTCCCTCCGCCGGACTGTTCCGATTGGTGTTTATTTAAACATCAGCATATGCGAGCCGGAGGAGAGGCCGGGTTAGTTGATTTAGGGAGCGGGATGGAAGTAAATAATGTCGTGTCCATATCGTGGTGGCGATAACAATAGAGCATACGGACCCCGATCCATTCTATTTTTACCAAAACGCCATGAGAGTTGCCTGAGAATCCTGAAAAGCTCTAGCGGGGATTGGGGCCTTTTCTTTTGGCCAGTGACTTGTATGAAATAGCCATTAAGTTTATTAATTGTTGTGGAAGGAACCACTTAAGCACATCAGAGCCATAACTCTTGTATGTCACAGTCGAGTCGAGTGCATTAAGGCAATTGTGGGATTCAGGCCTCGGCTATCCATTCCGTATCTCGGCGGGCACAGTCGCCGCAGAAATTAACGCGCCGGCAATTAGCAAGTGTATGCAAAACGGACTCCGACCGCCCGACGCCCCACGCCCCCCGACCACCTCTCAACTTCAACCTCAGTGGCCTCAAAAGCCGCCTGCCGTGGCTACAGTTTTTCTGCATAAATTAATAACAGATATCAGCGGCGCAGCATCGGCGGCGTAAACAGCAAAACCAGCAACCCATTAGAGTATCGGCCAAGTTGCAAGTTGCAGGTTGCCAACTGGCTCTCGACGGCAACTCTGGTTCGGGCTCGGGCTCGGGCTCCGGCTCAGGGCCATGTTTGTCTGCTTTTGTATTTATTTTGTTTAAATGTTGAGTGTTATATGTATAGTATGTGGTGGAACTGAGAGTTTGCAGAATGCAGCCACGACTGCAATACTTGCGTTATGCGATAGAAACCGAACTGTAGCCACATGTGTGAGATGCATAAACGTGCCTGCATATCCATCTTTATAATTATTTTATGACATACAAATGGAAAATTACGGATTTCGTGTGACAGTTGAAGAGGGAGAGATCTGGAGTGCCTCAAAGTGGGGAATGTGTCAAGGAGACTTGGGTTCTAAGTCCAAGGTGTGGATGTGCTGGAGGGTCTGCTGAGGGAATTAGGTGTTCAGCATACTTTACAGAATCTGAGGAATTAATGCCATTCACCGTCAAGGGGGGCTGCTTTTTACAATTTGAATGAATGTCATGGAACGACTCTGATTGCTGCATTCATAACTGCAACCCATATTGAAGGGTTTCTCTTTTCAACTCGCTAGCTCTGCTAGTAAGGGGCTTTTGGACAAGTTATTCATACAATCTTAAAGCCAGAACCTGGCTATATTGGTTCAAAGCCATGTTCACCAAAACAAAAGCCTCTGTGACAAAACTTTAGAAGGTAACGGCTTAAAAGTGACTCCAGTTCCCAGCTGTCGAGCGCCAGTCACCCACTTTCAATTAGTTGATTCAATTGACAGCATTTTTGCATATATAATTTGTGGCAAGAGCAGGGTCGGTGGAGATGGAGGTGGAGGTGTAGACCACCCGGGGCACCTGTGAACTAATTTATAGGTTTCGAGACATCAGAGGCTTTGATGTGGTTCGTCTTTAATTCAGTTTGCTCTCTGTTGGAAAGGCACTTTCTGGCCACAACAGAGCTAACCCCAAGGCATCTCCAACTTGGCGACAAGGAAGGCTTTTTGCTGGACACACACACACCTGATGATTTCAAATGTTTAATTACAAAACGAGAGAGGCAAATTTTTGTATAAACCAGCAACAGAATCGTTTGAAAAATGTTGGCAATTAGGCAAGCATTTAAATACCATTTCCTTGCTTAAATGACATGGAGAGAAAAGTGGGTTAATGTTTTATAGATAGAGTGGGTCTGTGGCTATAGCCAGAGATCTATAGACTACCGATCTTCAAGGAGAGATCCTATGATTGTGAAAGTTTTTAAAGAGAGACTTAAAAGACTATCCAATAATTTGATTATTAGATAAAATCATATAGAAGGTGTAGTTGGATTTTCTCTCCGTGTAACGTGTAGAGTCTAGGGTCTGGTGTAATCAGTCGCATCTAACCATCTCAGATACCCACATCTTAAAAATATATTAAGCTCATTAAAATAGCGCGAGTGTGTGTGTATCTGTGAGTGAGTGGTGGAGCTGAGACTCCTCTTCAATATCTTCGGCATCAAGTTGCGAGATTCATTAAGGCCTAAGCCGTACAGAAAATATTTTACGTTCAGGTCGCCGAAGGTCTTCCTACCTGTTACCTGTTCCAAGCCCCGAACCTCACTCAAAACTGAAAAAAAAAAACTGAAAAACTGAAAACTGAAAGAGGAGAGAAAAGAAGCAGCTGGGCCCAACTTGTTGGTTTCGATTGATGTGACTGTTTGCGCATGTGCACACGGCCGAGTATGGTTTTTGTATCTCTTGGGTTGCATTTCATTGTTATGACATCCACAGGTAACAAATATTCCTCGGAGCGTCTGCCTGGCCTACCCGTGGGCCCTGTGCCCGGGCTCTCTGGGAAACGGGTTCTGGCTTCCCTAGGATCAATGATTAAATATCATATTTTCCTTATCAGAAACAAGCAGAAGAAATCTCCACTCTTCCGACGGTGGTGGTTTTGTTTGGTTTTATTTTCCTTCTTCGTCCCCCGGGGCAGATGGGCTCCTCATACCTTAGATTTCAGCTGACTTTTTACAAGCAATACTACAAGCAATTAAAAACCCGCCCAGCTCATGAGCCCGGCAACATAATTAATGCAATTTTTAATCTGGTTTTGTTAATCTATTCCAACAGCGATTTGCAGGGCAATAACTTGACCGTTATCTACGAGACGGACTTCCAGAGGCTGACCAAGCTGCGGATGCTGTAAGTAGATCTCAGAACTCCTGAGTTGGATGTGACTAACCAGGATCCTCTTAACTCTTCCACAGCCAACTGACGGATAACCAAATCCATACGATCGAAAGGAATTCCTTCCAGGATTTGGTCTCTTTGGAGCGACTGTGAGTATTTCGAAGAGTCCTAGAAAGAAAGGCCTAGCTTGCATGTCATAACTCACTTTCTACTAACCGATTTTGAATATCTCTTAGATACATTATCCTAGCTAGCGTGATAATTGACTTACTATAGCTTGATGCGAAAATTAGTGTTATCTTGTACCAGTTTAGTTGATTTTGATTTTTATGCTTATTCTTACCGTTTTTGATTGACTCTCTGCTGTCGTTGCCTTTCGTTTTGCGTACTTAATGCCCGTCTCTACACCAACCAAACATACCAAACCAAACTAAAACACCAAACCAATTCCATTCAGACGCCTAAACAACAATCGACTAAAGGCAATTCCTGAAAACTTAGTGACAAGTTCAGCGAGTCTTTTGCGATTGTAAGTAATACTCCAAAGTAGTCGACAGTAGTCTACACTTTCGTAGCACCTCCCACAACCCGAATACTAACCGATTTCTGCCTCGGATTCGCAGGGACATCTCCAACAATGCCATCGTCACGGTGGGACGGCGCGTCTTCAAGGGCGCCCAGTCCCTCAGGAGCCTCCAGCTGGACAACAACCAGATCACCTGCCTCGACGAGCACGCCTTCAAGGGCCTGGTGGAGCTGGAGATACTGTAAGCACAATTAATCAATGATTTACCGACTCTCGCTAATCAATCAAACTGGAATTAGTCAATGACTTAAAAATCAATCAGTGGGCCGATCATGCCCATATATGTGTGTCTAAATTACATAATAAATGGTGGTCAGTTAATTAGAAGGGTGCCGCTTTTGGGAACTACGATTTGCGGAATCAAATGGAAATATAATCACTCTTGCCGTTTCAGAACGCTGAACAACAACAACCTGACGGCGCTGCCCCACAACATCTTCGGCAGTCTGGGGCGGCTGCGGGCGCTGCGGCTGTCCGACAACCCGTTCGCCTGCGACTGTCATCTGTCCTGGCTGTCCCGCTTCCTGCGCAGCGCCACCCGCCTGGCCCCCTACACCCGCTGCCAGTCGCCCTCCCAGCTGAAGGGCCAAAACGTGGCAGACCTGCACGACCAGGAGTTCAAATGTTCGGGTAAGTAATACCAGCCGCACTCGGCGGGCCCATGCAACATGATGTGGCAGCTCCCACTCCCAAAGAGCGTTATTAAAAGTGTGCACTGCCTCCTCCCCACGCCACTCGTGAATTAGTTTCTTTTGCCATGCGGGAGAAACCATGCACTCTGGGTATAAATCACAAGAATTCATATTGCCCAAGTCCCCCAGTCCACCCCCCAAGACACCAGCCAGCTGAAGCTGAAGCGAGAACCACTTAGTGGTTTGGTGGCTTCATCGACCGCATCCACATCGCATCGTTGGGTGCCCCGCTCCACTCCCTGTTTCTGGCGCGGTCGTGTGTTTGCCAAAACGTTTAACGCCGCTGATCTCCGAGAGACTCCAGTGCTCAGCCCCTGAGCTGCGGGCCAATTGAATGGGAAGTGGGAAGTGGCCGAAAAGCAACAGCCAAGTCGCTGGCTTGGCGCGAAAAGCTCAATGAAGCGGAAAATGCGCCTTAAAATCGATGCCACCACGGAACGGGTTTCCATTCAAGCCATGGACGTGTATGCCTGAAGAAACGAGCTGCAACGAGGGGGTATTGGTTTATTAAATTACTTATTTGGGGGAACCCTTATTGGACTTTCGATTAAAGTGGAACTAAGGGGCAAGCCTTTCTGATCAGCTGTCCATCCTCCTGGCTCGATCGCTTTCTCCTACCCTGCACCAGCTTTGATGGCTGCTACTGGTTGTGCGACAGAAAGATCCCAATCAGGAGGAGGGGCAACCACAGTATTCATAATTTTCTTACCGATGTATCCCCGATTTTGTTTCAGGCCTCACTGAGCACGCTCCGATGGAATGTGGGGTGGAGAACAGCTGTCCGCACCCATGTCGCTGCGCCGATGGAATCGTCGACTGTCGCGAGAAGAGCCTGACCAGTGTCCCGGTCACCCTGCCCGACGACACCACGGAGCTGTAAGTGCTGCTGGAGAGTCCTCCTCCAGAGCCTAGAGTGTTGATCTAACGCATCTGATTCTTGCAGTCGCCTCGAGCAGAACTTCATCACGGAGCTGCCGCCCAAGTCGTTCTCCAGCTTTCGCCGCCTGCGCCGCATCGACCTGTCGAACAACAACATCTCCCGGATTGCCCACGACGCCCTGAGCGGCCTAAAGCAGTTAACCACTCTGTAAGTAGACAATTCCCCGTTTTCCACTTTCCACTGCTTTGAGAGCAACAAGTGGCCCGGCCAAATGTGCACTCACTTGAGCTGCCCTGCACTCGGTTAAGTCTGAGCCACCTGAGCTGAATTGGCGGCGGGGCAGGGCGGAGGGAAGCCGGCAAGATGCCTACTACCAACACCCCAGAAGCTGGCTAATCGGCCCCCGGTAAGCCTGGGAGGCACCCACCGCAGGCATCGGCTTACGTGTGCGCATCTCCTCCTCCTCCCCGCCCCTGGCGGCCTTCTCAGGTGGCCACTTGTGAGTGGTGTGCGAGTGGGCTCAGAGCATGACACGAGCCTAATTAATACGGGTAGTATTAAGGGCCCGGTCCTTCCAGATTCTATGAATTTATTATTTAATTTTAAAGCTACCATGTAATAGGGCGGGACTATCCTTGTCTCAGCCAAGGAACTGATTATTATTTGGTTTATCAAATTCTTGTAGACCCTCTCCGGGCCTTGAATTAACTCTTTCTAGATTTGTTTACATTCTCTGTATTCTCTATTTGTGTTCCTTTCCATGTCGGGCTCCACCCACCCACCATCCCGTCATCCCATCAGCGTGCTGTACGGCAACAAAATAAAGGACTTACCCTCGGGCGTGTTCAAAGGACTGGGATCGCTGCAGCTGCTGCTTCTGAACGCCAACGAAATCTCGTGCATACGCAAGGATGCCTTCCGCGACCTGCACAGCCTCAGCCTGCTCTCCCTCTACGACAACAACATCCAGTCCCTTGCTAATGGCACATTCGACGCCATGAAGAGCATCAAAACGGTGTAAGTACATGAGGTCTCCTCACCCATCTCCATCTCCATCTCCATCTCCACACCCACATTCGAGTGAATACTCGAGGGCAGGCCCATGTCGGAAACCCTCTGTGAATGGGGCAGGCACTTTGGTGTTAAACCTCTGAAGTGCATTTAGTAGTTGCCTTTGACTGTTCCTCCGACTTTGGGTTGACATTTGTTCGGCAACAAACAAGGAGCTCGCCTCCGCCTTTTCGTGGAGAGGAGAGGCCTCTCGTGTCCCAGAAAGCTTTCGGTTTTAGCTGGAATAAAAGAATTCTTTGGCTAGAGCCATCGATGAGGAGGCGTGGCCTCGTTGCTGCTAAGAAGACTCTAAAAAGGTTTAAAAACTACCATCCCATATGGTGGTGGTTCTCAGGGATATAATCAAACCAGGCAGCTAAGGAGATGCATCTCCTATCGTAAGGAAGAGTTGGAGTTGCGGTTTAGATCCATGACATATAAGAAAGAATTTCTAAGAAGATGTTTCCTGCAAAATTGAAGACACTTGGCCCTCCCATTTAGGATTTCTTGAGAATTTCTTTTAAATAGTTTCAAAATAACAACAAAAGCGGCGGAAACACAACGGCAGTGTCGCGGACCCAAGGCTAGTGCACTTTTAAGACGTCTCAAGCCTCCAACGAGCCCCCAGCCTGCCCCAATCCTCCTATTCCAGCCATTCAGTCGAATGCTCAATGCTACTTTCTTTTCATTCCTGCTTTCTTTCCATTTGCCCACACACACACACCATGGACACACAGACATCTGGCCAAGAATCCTTTCATCTGCGACTGCAATCTGCGCTGGCTGGCCGACTATTTGCACAAAAATCCCATAGAGACGAGTGGAGCCCGCTGCGAGTCACCGAAGCGGATGCATCGTCGTCGGATTGAATCGCTGCGCGAGGAGAAATTTAAATGTAAGTCCTGCCGGGCCTCTGCCTCTGCCACTGCCTTGCAACCATCCTCTTCCTTGAGTTAACCAAGCGAATCGCTTCCTCGTTGTTCCCCTCCCTCCCTGAACAGGCTCCTGGGATGAATTGAGAATGAAGCTGTCCGGCGAGTGCCGCATGGACTCTGATTGTCCGGCAATGTGCCACTGCGAGGGCACCACCGTGGATTGCACTGGTCGGGGCCTGAAGGAGATTCCCCGCGACATTCCCCTGCACACGACTGAGCTGTAAGTTCCGTTTTGGTTTCTGTGTCGCCATCTACCATGGCTCCGGGATCCGGAATCCAAGCCTCTAACTCGATATTTTATTTGATTTTCGTAGTTTGCTCAACGACAACGAACTGGGCCGCATCAGCTCCGACGGCCTCTTTGGGCGGCTGCCGCACTTGGTGAAGCTGGAGCTGAAGCGGAACCAGCTGACCGGCATAGAGCCGAATGCCTTCGAAGGAGCCTCCCATATCCAGGAGCTGCAGCTCGGGGAGAACAAGATCAAGCAGATATCCAACAAGATGTTCCTGGGCCTCCACCAACTGAAGACTCTGTAGGTTTCAAACTATATGCTATACAACCTCTTCTTGTGATATTCGTCTTAATTTCCTCACTAATTGCCCAATCATTTCCATTTGCAGTAATCTTTACGACAATCAGATCTCCTGCGTTATGCCTGGTTCGTTTGAGCATCTCAACTCCCTGACGTCCCTGTAAGTACCAGACATCGTAGCAGACTTCCCACATTCCCCAGATTTGTATACTCGCCAGACGGTTGTGTACCATGGCAATTAAAAGAGGGGCAAGTGCCCGGGATGCACTTCGCTGGATAAATGATTTGGCTTGGGCCTTAATTGGCTGGCGGAGAGGAATCTGGCGGAGTCGCTCGTAAAATGAGGTTAATGGTTCTGATTGTTTTCGGGTCGAACTCTGCTCTGTTCTGTTCGGTTCGGTTCTACCTTGTGTGGCTGCCCTCCGTCAGTCTTTCAAATCATTTTGTTTCCATCAAGAGCACAGCACACTATTGTATATAATTCAATTGAACTTCGGCTAGAGGCCCAGTGTGTGTGTGCGTTTGTGCAGATACCACTAGCCCCTCTGTAAATCATCCCCCGAGCACACAAAGGCTGAAAAGGGAGCAAACCTCCTCCGCTCGATGATTTAATTAATTAAACTTGCGTTCCATGGAGAAAGCCAAACTCATTTGCCAAGGAAGGGAGGTGCTACTGCCTGCTGGTGGCTGCTGCTAGCAAATTATTGTAAAATTCATTTAAGTAGCTAATAAATAGCATCAATGCCCTAAGTGCTGGGGACCACATGGGCTGGGTGCCTCATCCCCCATTTTGACACTTCCAGGTACCACCTAAGAGGTGTTGCTCGAAAGAAGGGCAGACTGCCTGCGGCTTCCCCACACCCACACTGAGAGAATTGATTCCAACTCTTCTGAAACTCTCTAAAAAACGGAGTATCTACAAATATCTAAGAGAATATAAAGTTTATTTATAAATTATGATTAGACAGCCTAACCTTTTCAAGTCCTATCTCTCAACGGGTGCTGTGAAAATTTCTCAGTACTTCTCATGTTCAACCACACAGCAGAACCTTTATACCTCTGCAGGGAAGAGTGACTTATTAAATTAGTTTGGACTGCCTGCAACTTCGGAATTGCCAATGTAATTTGTGCTCCATTGTTCCGAGAGCTCCACATACGACCCACCTCCCTGTCTACTCCGAACAATTGAAGGCTTGGATCACACGACCAAGCAGAAGTAGTTACATCTTTGGCCCAACCGACAGAATACATTAAAAATTACTAAAGAAGGGAATAGAGCCGCTGGGGACAAATATTACGCTATAGGAACATTCTACTTTATGGTCTTTGATGTCAACTCCTTTTTCCATTGGCAGGAACCTCGCCTCGAATCCATTCAATTGCAACTGTCATTTGGCCTGGTTCGCCGACTGGCTGCGGAAAAAATCGCTCAACGGAGGAGCGGCACGTTGCGCGGCGCCCTCCAAGGTACGTGACGTGCAAATCAAGGACCTGCCGAACTCGGAGTTCAAGTGCAGCAGCGAGAACAGCGAGGGCTGCCTGGGCGACGGCTACTGCCCCCCATCCTGCACCTGCACCGGCACGGTGGTGCGTTGTTCCCGCAGCCAGCTGAAGGAGATACCCAGGGGTATTCCGGCGGAGACCTCCGAGCTCTACTTGGAGTCCAACGAGATCGAGCAGATCCACTACGACAGGATACGGCATCTGCGAGCGCTGACTCGACTGTAAGTTCGCTGGAAAGCACTGCCAGAGAAGCTACTAACGACTCACTTTTCCCACAGCGATCTCAGCAACAACCAGATCACCATTCTCTCGAACTACACCTTCGCCAACCTCACCAAGCTGTCCACCCTGTAAGTTGCCCCAACACATCCAGGTCTAATGACTTTTTAATTGCCGCAGCAAAACGTGGGGAAATTGCGAAACACAGCACCAATCGAAGGCCTAGCTCGAGAGGGCTTGACACCGTTTCGGTCCAATTGCATAGCCTTTCGACCAGGTCCGGGGGAGCAGGATGGGGCAGCTGATGTCGTGACTCGTGCCTAAGCACCGTCCGCCAGTAGCCGGCTCGGCCCCCCGCGCCTGAACAATCAAAACTTGTCCGATATGTCTGATTCGAATGGAAACGCTTTGCCATTCCGCTCAGTTCTCCACTAATTTCCGCATGTCCCATGTTGCATTTTTTATCCTTTCCCTCCGTCTCTGCCGTCTTCCAGCATCATCTCGTACAACAAACTGCAGTGTCTGCAGCGGCAGGCGCTGTCCGGAATGCACAACCTGCGCGTGCTCTCGCTCCACGGCAACCGGATCTCGATGCTGCCGGAGGGCTCCTTCGAGGACCTCAAGTCGTTGACCCACATGTGAGTTTCTAACTCTTGCAGCCCAATGAATCCATTTAAACTTTTCATCTCTTCCGGACAGAGCCCTGGGGAGCAACCCGCTGTACTGCGACTGCGGCCTCAAGTGGTTCTCCGACTGGATCAAGCTGGACTACGTGGAGCCGGGCATCGCCCGATGTGCCGAGCCGGAGCAGATGAAGGACAAGCTGATCCTGTCGACGCCTTCCTCTAGCTTTGTGTGCCGCGGTCGTGTCAGGAACGACATCCTCGCCAAGTGCAACGCTTGCTACGAGCAGCCCTGCCAGAACCAGGCCCAGTGTGTGGCCCTCCCGCAAAGGGAGTACCAGTGCCTCTGTCAGCCCGGATACCACGGCAAGCACTGCGAGTTCATGATAGACGCCTGCTACGGGAATCCCTGCCGGAACAACGCCGTCTGCACGGTGCTGGAGGAGGGCCGCTTCAGCTGCCAGTGTGCTCCGGGCTACACGGGAGCCAGGTGCGAGACGAACATCGACGACTGTCTGGGCGAGATCAAGTGTCAGAACAACGCCACCTGCATAGACGGCGTGGAATCCTATCACTGCGAGTGCCAGCCAGGATTCACTGGAGAGTTCTGCGACACCAAGATACAGTTCTGCTCCGCGGAGTTCAATCCCTGCCAGAACGGAGCCAAGTGTGTTGACCACTTCACGCACTACAGCTGCGACTGTCAGGCCGGATTCCACGGAACCAACTGCACGGACAACGTCGACGACTGCCAGAACCACATGTGCCAGAACGGGGGAACCTGCGTGGACGGGATCAACGACTACGTGTGCCGCTGCCCGGACGACTACACGGGCAAGTACTGCGAAGGGCACAACATGATATCGATGATGTATCCGCAAACGTCGCCGTGCCAGAACCACGAGTGCAAGCACGGGGTGTGCTTCCAGCCCAACGCCCAGGGCTCGGACTACCTGTGCAGGTGCCATCCGGGGTACACGGGCAAGTGGTGCGAGTACCTGACCAGCATCAGCTTCGTGCACAACAACTCCTTCGTGGAACTGGAGCCGCTGAGGACACGTCCGGAGGCGAACGTGACCATTGTTTTCAGTAGCGCGGAGCAGAACGGAATCCTCCTGTACGACGGACAGGACGCTCACTTGGCTGTGGAGCTGTTCAACGGCCGCATTCGCGTCAGCTACGATGTCGGAAACTACCCAGTCTCCACGATGTACAGCTTCGAGATGGTGGCGGATGGAAAGTACCATGCAGTCGAACTGCTGGCTGTCAAGAAGAACTTTACGCTGCGAGTGGATCGTGGCCTGGCCAGGTCAATCATCAACGAGGGATCCAACGATTACCTGAAACTAACGACGCCCATGTTTCTGGGCGGCCTTCCCGTGGAGCCCGCCCAGCAGGCCTACAAGAACTGGCAGATCCGCAACCTAACCAGCTTCAAGGGCTGTATGCGGGAGGTGTGGATCAACCACAAGCTGGTAGACTTCGGCAACGCTCAGCGCCAGCAGAAGATCACCCCAGGCTGTGCCCTCCTGGACGGGCAGGAGCAGCAGGAGGAGGAGGACGATGAGCAGGACTTTATGGACGAGACTCCGCACATTAAGGAGGTGGGTGTCTCTTTGCGATTCTTGTTGATATGCGAATGTAACATGGCTTTGTTTTATTCCGCAGCAGCCATCGGATCCCTGCCTGGAGAACAAGTGCCGCCGGGGCAGCCGCTGCGTCCCGAATGCCAATGCCCGGGACGGCTACCAGTGCAAGTGCAAGCACGGCCAGAGGGGACGCTACTGCGATCAAGGTGAGGGCAGCACTGAGCCCCCAACAATCACCGGTACATACATCTCATGCTTAAACTAATCACCTCGTTTCACCCACATTGCTTGCATCAGTCACAGTCTAGATAATCACTTTCCCATCACCTATCAACCGATATTGTATCGCTTTACCCTCCAAGCTCCTCTGACTAACCAAATCTCGTTTCTTTTTCATCCAGCGGCCTCCACCTGCCGCAAGGAGCAGGTGCGCGAGTACTACACGGAGAACGACTGCCGTTCCCGGCAACCGCTCAAGTACGCCAAGTGCGTAGGAGGATGTGGCAACCAGTGCTGCGCGGCGAAGATCGTGCGGCGGCGCAAGGTGAGTGTTGCATGGATTAAGTGGAAACACCTTCAATAATAATCCTATCCCATAACCTACATCCTAGGTGCGCATGGTGTGCAGCAACAACCGCAAGTACATCAAGAACTTGGACATCGTGCGCAAGTGCGGATGCACCAAGAAATGCTACTGACTGAAAGATGCGACTACCCAATTGCTCAGCTGGAGCAATAGCAGCTTAGATGTTAGTTTAAGGACAGGTTTAAATGTAACTTATTACAGTAGTAGTAGTAATAGTAGTTTAAGTGATAGAATTACGGATAGGCAGGCAGATGCGGGGGGGAAGACAGCCGAGGACGAGAAGGAGGAGGAGGACGACGTTGAGGGGGACTATCCCACGGATGGTATCGATGGCATGCAGGCCGATCTCTACGACGATACTATCGACGATGAGCTTGAGGAGGACGATGGTCTGGACTATCCAGACGAGGAGAGTGATGGGGACGAGGAGCCGGAACAACTTCCAGATCCTAAAGGTTTGGTGAGTGTGCCGGACGAGGAGGAGGACATGGGCTACGATGAGGACGACGAGCGTATTGCCATGGAGCGTCCGAGGACAGTGAGACCGAAGCCGGACGAGGAGCTCTTCCTGAACGAAGAGGGAAGCGGTGGTTTTCGTTCGAGATTCCGGCCGAGTAGTGGCAACAGCTTCCGCCAAAGCCAGCTGGAGAACATACGCAAGAAGCTGCTCACCGAGGAGCAGGCCGTGGCGATTGCCGTACCGAGCACTGCCATCGATCTGCGCGAGAGCAGCGGTCACTTTGCCAACGATGACGAGGATGGCGAAGATGGCGATGACAGCGTCGATGACGAGTTCCCCGACACGGGCGGAAACAGCCAGGGGCACGGCTTCTTGAGCTCCCAGCGGAAGAACGGTGCCTACCACAGGAAGAACGGCAACGATGCCATCAAGATCATATCCACGCCGCTGGGCAAGGTGAGCATTGTGTACCAGCAAACGGATAAGGATCAGGCCGCCGAGAAGGATCAGGACAAGCAGCAGCCAAAGAAGCCGGCGCTCACCGACTTCGATGCCCTGTCGCCGGACCCCGAGAGCAGTCATCGCTTTCCGTCGCCTCACCCCAAGATTACGCCCGTTCTAACGCCCGATGGCAAGGTGGCGCTGCTCTATCGCGGAGACTCGGAGAGCTCCAAGTACGAGCCCATTCGCAACCTTACCACCCACAAGTTCTCCGGACACCAGCCGAAGGCCAGTGCCGCCGAGGACACGTCCTCTTCGGAGGACTCGGTGTATACTGATAGCGAGGATGTCGAGGACAATCCAGCTGGTGGAGCTGGCGCGGGTGCAGCTGAAAAATCATTCCCTGCCACGAGTACGCCCAAAACTCTCCAGCCGGAGATTGTGGAGCCGCCAGAAAATGTTCAGCCGGGTGGAAGCTTCATCATTCGGCCCACTTCGGACTCACTGCTCCCGATGATCAACCGGCCGTTGTCCGAGGTGCTGGGCATCAAGAAGAACCAGTTCCAGGAGACGCGCGTCCGCGACCAGCTGCCCACTCAGCAGCCTCCACTACTGCCGGGTCTGATGCCGGAGACGGTCACCTCGCGCAGCCCACAGTTCCTGGCTAAGGTCAACTTGGCCGAGTTCCCCACCTCCGGGCGGACACTGCAGCAGCCGCTGATGCCGGGCAACCGCGACTTTGACTTCAGTCGGGACAACACGATGCTGGACGAGCGGTCCAGGGTGCGCGAACGGGAGCGGGAGAAGGACCACAATGAGGCCACGAGCAAGGGAGGCGGCGCCACAGAGGCGCACACCATTGCCAATGAGCAGATGCTGTCCAAGACAGAGGTCATCAACCTGGCCATTGTGCCGCAGTTCGACGAGGACCTGGAGCGGCTCCAGCGGCTGCAGGAGAGCGGTGGGCGGCGCCACCACCGTGCACGCCACCGCCACCGCCAGCAGACGGAGGAGGAGCTGTCTGGCATCCACTGTATCATGCAGGTCATGATGGGTGTGGCCGCTGTCTCCACTGTCTTTGGCATGCTGGGCACCTTCTTCAAGCAGCGAATACTCGATCAGTTACGCATGATGCACTGGTAGTACAACACGGGGGTGGAATGCCCCTCCCATCCGAGTTCCCACTGTGTCCCCCATTCCCTTCCCTTCACCTGCCTCATCGTCGCGGTTATCGTTCAGGTGAGACTGCTGCCCTTCTACTACTGCTATTAGCAAACGCATATATACACTTACCATACGCTATGTATTCATATATACAGCCATATTTAACTACATAACTATCAAGCTTATTCAGGGGCGCCGGAAGAGAGCTGATTCATGCAGGGGAAACTGGAGTAACTGGACAGAAACCCCCCTGGACAGAAAGGGCGCCCCTGAGCTTTATGCATAATCTATGTACTGCACAAAGGCATCGATTCGCTATCGTCCCCTTTTACTTTTTATAAACTATATGTATCGTATCTTATTCGGTGTATCTGCTACGCCCCACAATGTATTCTATATATTCGTATATATCCCTTTGGACGGCACCCGGAGCGTGCGGAAGGAGACTACTACGTATAGCCGCAGAATCGAAACTCTGCTTGAACCATTAACAAGTATTTACTAACGCAAGCTACCCAGGCGATGTGCATAATAACTGAACTGAATCATAATACGATTAATGCGATTAGTGTATGTGAGACTGTAGCAACTGTAGCCCTTGCCAAGTTAGCGGAATTAGCCTTCTGTTTCTTAATACTCTCCGATCCTGCGTTGAATCCTTTTTCGTATCTTCCTAGTGCCTAGTGCGCCGACCTTCCTTTTGTCAGTGTAACAAGCTTTAAGCCAGTCATGTCATGCCACGCCACGCCACGCCCCACACCGTCCTGTCCCGCCTTGAATGTGTCCCGGCCGAAAACATTCCCCTTGTTGTCTTAGGAGCTGGGAGACGTGAATGTAGAACCGATTACTTTTTGTAGATAGAGAACGAGAGCAGTTGTTGGACGTCGAACGATAAAAAAAGATGATAAAACTGAAGCTAACATTAAAAGTAAAAGAAATTAACGTTGAAATATAACAGTAAACTCGCACACGAAGTTTGCGTAACGGTCGTTTTAAACGCTCCCAAACGCAACGGTCTAAACAATCGATAAGCGATTAACGATTAACGATTAACGATAATAAGTGAATAACAAAACCCTAATTGTAAGTCGCTCAACAGATAATGAAGAGTATTTTGATAGGAAGGAAAACCAGATAACAGAAACAGGAAGTCGAATGGATAATAGGCTAACATCTTTGCCAGTGTTTTTCTTGAATTGTTCCCCCAAAAACGAAACTAATGTGTGCAAAAATTGCGGTAATTAATTAAATTTAATCTAAACTAAAACTAATACTAAAACTAATGATAAACTAAAATAATTCGGATAAAACATCTAAGCTGGGTAGTCGCATGTAAATCTAACAATTACCAACCTAAGTTAGACCTGAAATGTAATGAAACACAAATACAACAAATCGAATTGCATTTAAAGAAACCTAATAAATAATAATAGCAATAATTACAATTAATAATAATCTATATAAATGTAACTATATCTATGCTGTATGTATGACCCTATATTTATATATGTTAAATGTTTTTGACTATTTTTCTCTATTTATATCCATATATATTATATATGTATACCTATACGATATGTGTGTAATAGCCCCTTTTGGTCACTTTAGTTGTCTTTTATGTATATTTAAACAAGTAAAACAGCTGAAATAGCCAAATCAAGAGTTAATTTTTTTGTACCATTATTGCAGCCTTAAAACTGCGATTGTGAATGGATTGGGGGCTTGGGGCAATTTATCTAATATTGGTAAAGATATTATCTAATATTTGATGAGATTGATATGATGATGTACCAATACCAGCAGATGGCATAAGAGGTATGTTTTTAGCGGTAATTTGGCTCTATCGGATGCAGAGGATGTCCCGACTACTCCAGGATAATAGTACAAGATCCACGAAAAATTCGAAAAATTTGAAAACTATATTTAAGCAATAATTTGAATGAGGAAAGTGGCTCCTGAGTTCTCTGAATACGGAATGGTAATTTGTTTCCCGATCGGACATAAATTGCCAGAGCTATGGCCATCGGAAGGAGCAAAAGTGGGGAAAACGCGAAATCGCTCAATTTTATAGGGGTACCCCTTGGAAAAAATTCGAAAAATTTGAAAACTATATTTAAGCAATAATTTGAATGAGGAAAGTGGCTCCTGAGTTCTCTGAATACGAAATGGTACTTTGTTTCCCGATCGGACATAAATTGCTAGAGCTATGGCCATCGGAAGGAGCAAAAGTGGGAAAAACGCGAAATCGCTCAATTTTATAGGGGTACCCCTTGGAAAAAATTCGAAAAATTTGAAAACTATATTCAAGCAATAATTTGAATGAGGAAAGTGGCTCCTGAGTTCTCTGAATATGGAATGGTACTTTGTTTCCCGATCGGACATAAATTGCCAGAGCTATGGCCATCGGAAGGAGCAAAAGTGGGGAAAACGCGAAATCGCTCAATTTTATAGGGGTACCCCTTGGAAAAAATTCGAAAAATTTGAAAACTATATTTAAGCAATAATTTGAATGAGGAAAGTGGCTCCTGAGTTCTCTGAATACGGAATGGTACTTTGTTTCCCGATCGGACATAAACTGGCAGAGCTATGGCCATCGGAAGGAGCAAAAGTGGGGAAAACGCGAAATCGCTCAATTTTATAGGGGTACCCCTTGGAAAAAATTCGAAAAATTTGAAAACTATATTTAATCAATAATTTGAATGAGGAAAGTGGCTCCTGAGTTCTCTGAATACGGAATGGTAATTTGTTTCCCGATCGGACATAAATTGCCAGAGCTATGGCCATCGGAAGGAGCAAAAGTGGGGAAAACGCGAAATCGCTCAATTTTATAGGGGTACCCCTTGGAAAAAATTCGAAAAATTTGAAAACTATATTTAAGCAATAATTTGAATGAGGAAAGTGGCTCCTGAGTTCTCTGAATACGGAATGGTAATTTGTTTCCCGATCGGACATAAATTGCCAGAGCTATGGCCATCGGAAGGAGCAAAAGTGGGGAAAACGCGAAATCGCTCAATTTTATAGGGGTACCCCTTGGAAAAAATTCGAAAAATTTGAAAACTATATTTAAGCAATAATTTGAATGAGGAAAGTGGCTCCTGAGTTCTCTGAATACGGAATGGTACTTTGTTTCCCGATCGGACATAAACTGGCAGAGCTATGGCCATCGGAAGGAGCAAAAGTGGGGAAAACGCGAAATCGCTCAATTTTATAGGGGTACCCCTTGGAAAAAATTCGAAAAATTTGAAAACTATATTTAAGCAATAATTTGAATGAGGAAAGTGGCTCCTGAGTTCTCTGAATATGGAATGGTACTTTGTTTCCCGATCGGACATAAATTGCCAGAGCTATGGCCATCGGAAGGAGCAAAACTGGGGAAAACGCGAAATCGCTCAATTTTATAGGGGTACCCCTTGGAAAAAATTCGAAAAATTTGAAAACTATATTCAAGCAATAATTTGAATGAGGAAAGTGGCTCCTGAGTTCTCTGAATATGGAATGGTACTTTGTTTCCCGATCGGACATAAATTGCCAGAGCTATGGCCATCGGAAGGAGCAAAAGTGGAAAAAACGCGAAATCGCTCAATTTTATAGGGGTACCCCTTGGAAAAAATTCGAAAAATTTGAAAACTATATTTAAGCAATAATTTGAATGAGGAAAGTGGCTCCTGAGTTCTCTGAATACGAAATGGTACTTTGTTTCCCGATCGGACATAAATTGCTAGAGCTATGGCCATCGGAAGGAGCAAAAGTGGGAAAAACGCGAAATCGCTCAATTTTATAGGGGTACCCCTTGGAAAAAATTCGAAAAATTTGAAAACTATATTTAAGCAATAATTTGAATGAGGAAAGTGGCTCCTGAGTTCTCTGAATACGGAATGGTACTTTGTTTCCCGATCGGACATAAACTGGCAGAGCTATGGCCATCGGAAGGAGCAAAAGTGGGGAAAACGCGAAATCGCTCAATTTTATAGGGGTACCCCTTGGAAAAAATTCGAAAAATTTGAAAACTATATTTAAGCAATAATTTGAATGAGGAAAGTGGCTCCTGAGTTCTCTGAATACGGAATGGTAATTTGTTTCCCGATCGGACATAAATTGCCAGAGCTATGGCCATCGGAAGGAGCAAAAGTGGGGAAAACGCGAAATCGCTCAATTTTATAGGGGTACCCCTTGGAAAAAATTCGAAAAATTTGAAAACTATATTTAAGCAATAATTTGAATGAGGAAAGTGGCTCCTGAGTTCTCTGAATACGGAATGGTACTTTGTTTCCCGATCGGACTTAAACTGGCAGAGCTATGGCCATCGGAAGGAGCAAAAGTGGGGAAAACGCGAAATCGCTCAATTTTATAGGGGTACCCCTTGGAAAAAATTCGAAAAATTTGAAAACTATATTTAAGCAATAATTTGAATGAGGAAAGTGGCTCCTGAGTTCTCTGAATATGGAATGGTACTTTGTTTCCCGATCGGACATAAATTGCCAGAGCTATGGCCATCGGAAGGAGCAAAACTGGGGAAAACGCGAAATCGCTCAATTTTATAGGGGTACCCCTTGGAAAAAATTCGAAAAATTTGAAAACTATATTCAAGCAATAATTTGAATGAGGAAAGTGGCTCCTGAGTTCTCTGAATATGGAATGGTACTTTGTTTCCCGATCGGACATAAATTGCCAGAGCTATGGCCATCGGAAGGAGCAAAAGTGGAAAAAACGCGAAATCGCTCAATTTTATAGGGGTACCCCTTGGAAAAAATTCGAAAAATTTGAAAACTATATTTAAGCAATAATTTGAATGAGGAAAGTGGCTCCTGAGTTCTCTGAATACGAAATGGTACTTTGTTTCCCGATCGGACATAAATTGCTAGAGCTATGGCCATCGGAAGGAGCAAAAGTGGGAAAAACGCGAAATCGCTCAATTTTATAGGGGTACCCCTTGGAAAAAATTCGAAAAATTTGAAAACTATATTCAAGCAATAATTTGAATGAGGAAAGTGGCTCCTGAGTTCTCTGAATATGGAATGGTACTTTGTTTCCCGATCGGACATAAATTGCCAGAGCTATGGCCATCGGAAGGAGCAAAACTGGGGAAAACGCGAAATCGCTCAATTTTATAGGGGTACCCCTTGGAAAAAATTCGAAAAATTTGAAAACTATATTCAAGCAATAATTTGAATGAGGAAAGTGGCTCCTGAGTTCTCTGAATACGGAATGGTACTTTGTTTCCCGATCGGACATAAATTGCTAGAGCTATGGCCATCGGAAGGAGCAAAAGTGGGAAAAACGCGAAATCGCTCAATTTTATAGGGGTACCCCTTGGAAAAAATTCGAAAAATTTGAAAAATATATTTAAGCAATAATTTGAATGAGGAAAGTGGCTCCTGAGTTCTCTGAATACGGAATGGTACTTTGTTTCCCGATCGGACATAAACTGGCAGAGCTATGGCCATCGGAAGGAGCAAAAGTGGGGAAAACGCGAAATCGCTCAATTTTATAGGGGTACCCCTTGGAAAAAATTCGAAAAATTTGAAAACTATATTTAAGCAATAATTTGAATGAGGAAAGTGGCTCCTGAGTTCTGTGAATACGGAATGGTAATTTGTTTCCTGATCGGACATAAATTGGCAGAGCTATGGCCATCGGAATGTGCAAAAGTGGGGAAAACGCGAAATCGCTCAATTTTATAGGGGTACCCCTTGGAAAAAATTTGGAAAAATTTGAAAACTATATTTAAGCAATAATTTGAATGAGGAAAGTGGCTCCTGAGTTCTCTGAATATGGAATGGTACTTTGTTTCCCGATCGGACATAAATTGCCAGAGCTATGGCCATCGGAAGGAGCAAAACTGGGGAAAACGCGAAATCGCTCAATTTTATAGGGGTACCCCTTGGAAAAAATTCGAAAAATTTGAAAACTATATTTAAGCAATAATTTGAATGAGGAAAGTGGCTCCTGAGTTCTCTGAATACGAAATGGTACTTTGTTTCCCGATCGGACATAAATTGCTAGAGCTATGGCCATCGGAAGGAGCAAAAGTGGGGAAAACGCGAAATCGCTCAATTTTATAGGGGTACCCCTTGGAAAAAATTCGAAAAATTTGAAAACTATATTTAAGCAATAATTTGAATGAGGAAAGTGGCTCCTGAGTTCTCTGAATACGGAATGGTAATTTGTTTCCCGATCGGACATAAATTGCCAGAGCTATGGCCATCGGAAGGAGCAAAAGTGGGGAAAACGCGAAATCGCTCAATTTTATAGGGGTACCCCTTGGAAAAAATTCGAAAAATTTGAAAACTATATTTAAGCAATAATTTGAATGAGGAAAGTGGCTCCTGAGTTCTCTGAATACGGAATGGTAATTTGTTTCCCGATCGGACATAAATTGCCAGAGCTATGGCCATCGGAAGGAGCAAAAGTGGGGAAAACGCGAAATCGCTCAATTTTATAGGGGTACCCCTTGGAAAAAATTCGAAAAATTTGAAAACTATATTTAAGCAATAATTTGAATGAGGAAAGTGGCTCCTGAGTTCTCTGAATACGGAATGGTACTTTGTTTCCCGATCGGACATAAACTGGCAGAGCTATGGCCATCGGAAGGAGCAAAAGTGGGGAAAACGCGAAATCGCTCAATTTTATAGGGGTACCCCTTGGAAAAAATTCGAAAAATTTGAAAACTATATTTAAGCAATAATTTGAATGGGGAAAGTGGCTCCTGAGTTCTCTGAATACGGAATGGTAATTTGTTTCCCGATCGGACATAAATTGCCAGAGCTATGGCCATCGGAAGGAGCAAAAGTGGGGAAAACGCGAAATCGCTCAATTTTATAGGGGTACCCCTTGGAAAAAATTCGAAAAATTTGAAAACTATATTTAAGCAATAATTTGAATGAGGAAAGTGGCTCCTGAGTTCTCTGAATACGGAATGGTACTTTGTTTCCCGATCGGACTTAAACTGGCAGAGCTATGGCCATCGGAAGGAGCAAAAGTGGGGAAAACGCGAAATCGCTCAATTTTATAGGGGTACCCCTTGGAAAAAATTCGAAAAATTTGAAAACTATATTTAAGCAATAATTTGAATGAGGAAAGTGGCTCCTGAGTTCTGTGAATACGGAATGGTACTTTGTTTCCTGATCGGACATAAATTGGCAGAGCTATGGCCATCGGAATGTGCAAAAGTGGGGAAAACGCGAAATCGCTCAATTTTATAGGGGTACCCCTTGGAAAAAATTCGAAAAATTTGAAAACTATATTTAAGCAATAATTTGAATGGGGAAAGTGGCTCCTGAGTTCTCTGAATGCGGAATGGTACTTTGATTCCCGATCGGACATAAATAGGCAGAGCTATGGCCATCGGAATGAGCAAAAGTGGGGAAAACGCGAAATCGCTCAATTTTATAGGGGTACCCCTTGGAAAAAATTCGAAAAATTTGAAAACTATATTTAAGCAATAATTTGAATGAGGAAAGTGGCTCCTGAGTTCTGTGAATACGGAATGGTACTTTGTTTCCTGATCGGACATAAATTGGCAGAGCTATGGCCATCGGAATGTGCAAAAGTGGGGAAAACGCGAAATCGCTCAATTTTATAGGGGTACCCCTTGGAAAAAATTCGAAAAATTTGAAAACTATATTTAAGCAATAATTTGAATGGGGAAAGTGGCTCCTGAGTTCTCTGAATATGGAATGGTACTTTGTTTCCCGATCGGACATAAATTGCCACAGCTATGGCCATCGGAATGAGCAAAAGTGGGGAAAACGCGTACCCCTTGGAAAAAATTCGAAAAATTTGAAAACGATATTAAAGCAATAATTTGTATGAGGAAAGTGGCTCCTGAGTTCTGTGAATACGGAATGGTACTTTGTTTCCTGATCGGACATAAATTGGCAGAGCTATGGCCATCGGAATGTGCAAAAGTGGGGAAAACGCGAAATCGCTCAATTTTATAGGGGTACCCCTTGGAAAAAATTTGGAAAAATTTGAAAACTATATTTAAGCAATAATTTGAATGAGGAAAGTGGCTCCTGAGTTCTCTGAATATGGAATGGTACTTTGTTTCCCGATCGGACATAAATTGCCACAGCTATGGCCATCGGAAGGAGCAAAAGTGGGGAAAACGCGAAATCGCTCAATTTTATAGGGGTACCCCTTGGAAAAAATTCGAAAAATTTGAAAACTATATTTAAGCAATAATTTGAATGAGGAAAGTGGCTCCTGAGTTCTCTGAATACGGAATGGTAATTTGTTTCCCGATCGGACATAAATTGCCAGAGCTATGGCCATCGGAAGGAGCAAAAGTGGGGAAAACGCGAAATCGCTCAATTTTATAGGGGTACCCCTTGGAAAAAATTCGAAAAATTTGAAAACTATATTTAAGCAATAATTTGAATGAGGAAAGTGGCTCCTGAGTTCTGTGAATACGGAATGGTACTTTGTTTCCTGATCGGACATAAATTGGCAGAGCTATGGCCATCGGAATGTGCAAAAGTGGGGAAAACGCGAAATCGCTCAATTTTATAGGGGTACCCCTTGGAAAAAATTCGAAAAATTTGAAAACTATATTTAAGCAATAATTTGAATGGGGAAAGTGGCTCCTGAGTTCTCTGAATGCGGAATGGTACTTTGATTCCCGATCGGACATAAATAGGCAGAGCTATGGCCATCGGAATGAGCAAAAGTGGGGAAAACGCGAAATCGCTCAATTTTATAGGGGTACCCCTTGGAAAAAATTCGAAAAATTTGAAAACTATATTTAAGCAATAATTTGAATGAGGAAAGTGGCTCCTGAGTTCTGTGAATACGGAATGGTACTTTGTTTCCTGATCGGACATAAATTGGCAGAGCTATGGCCATCGGAATGTGCAAAAGTGGGGAAAACGCGAAATCGCTCAATTTTATAGGGGTACCCCTTGGAAAAAATTCGAAAAATTTGAAAACTATATTTAAGCAATAATTTGAATGGGGAAAGTGGCTCCTGAGTTCTGTGAATACGGAATGGTACTTTGTTTCCTGATCGGACATAAATTGGCAGAGCTATGGCCATCGGAATGTGCAAAAGTGGGGAAAACGCGAAATCGCTCAATTTTATAGGGGTACCCCTTGGAAAAAATTTGGAAAAATTTGAAAACTATATTTAAGCAATAATTTGAATGAGGAAAGTGGCTCCTGAGTTCTCTGAATATGGAATGGTACTTTGTTTCCCGATCGGACATAAATTGCCAGAGCTATGGCCATCGGAAGGACCAAAACTGGGGAAAACGCGAAATCGCTCAATTTTATAGGGGTACCCCTTGGAAAAAATTCGAAAAATTTGAAAACTATATTTAAGCAATAATTTGAATGAGGAAAGTGGCTCCTGAGTTCTCTGAATACGAAATGGTACTTTGTTTCCCGATCGGACATAAATTGCTAGAGCTATGGCCATCGGAAGGAGCAAAAGTGGGGAAAACGCGAAATCGCTCAATTTTATAGGGGTACCCCTTGGAAAAAATTCGAAAAATTTGAAAACTATATTTAAGCAATAATTTGAATGAAGAAAGTGGCTCCTGAGTTCTCTGAATACGGAATGGTAATTTGTTTCCCGATCGGACATAAATTGCCAGAGCTATGGCCATCGGAAGGAGCAAAAGTGGGGAAAACGCGAAATCGCTCAATTTTATAGGGGTACCCCTTGGAAAAAATTCGAAAAATTTGAAAACTATATTTAAGCAATAATTTGAATGAGGAAAGTGGCTCCTGAGTTCTCTGAATGCGGAATGGTACTTTGATTCCCGATCGGACATAAATAGGCAGAGCTATGGCCATCGGAATGAGCAAAAGTGGGGAAAACGCGTACCCCTTGGAAAAAATTCGAAAAATTTGAAAACGATATTTTAGCAATAATTTAAATGAGAAAAGTGGCTCCTGAGTTTTCTGAATACGAAATGTTACCTTAGTATTCAGCACCAATATAACTATTCAGTTAATGGTTATATATTCTCTTCAATAAAACACACGATTTAGACTTTTGGCTAATCCCTTAGTATTTAGGCTTTATATATGTAGATAGAAATCCAGATAAATATATTTCATCTGGGCCATTCGAGAAGATATCCGTACACATAAAAGTTATATTTACTGATGGGCTCTTAAATAGCTAATTCGGAACATGTTTTCTTTGAGTTAAGCTTAAAGCAAGCGGATACGGCAGTTGGGGGCCCCACACTGGCAGTACAGCACCTTGCCGGGCACCACGCCCACTTCATAGTTGTAGTTCCAGGTCAGTTCGGTGCCGGAGCGAATGTGCGACGCCGAGAAAAAGGCCACCCAGGGAAAGCGCAAGTCGTGGGTGTCAACGAAGACGTTTTGAACGAAAAGGTTTGGGTTACACGAGTGCTGTAAGACAAAATTAGTAAGTAACAAATTTTCAAAACTTCGAACAGACAATATATGTATATCCTTACGTTAAAATAGCGACCCAAGTTTCCAGTGGTTTTAGCATCCATAATGTAAGGCGCCTCATCCTTGCCAAACAGCCGACGTACAGAGTTCTCTCGCACAGTCTCGTCCAGATCGGCGTTCGGATTAAAGTTGATAACCGCGCGCTCCTGCGAGTCAACTTCTGTAGATTGGCCTGAGGCACTAATACTGCGTGTGGCGCGCACCTTGTTTTTCTTCTGATAGTATTTGTTTGGCCGGAAGTCATCATCGTCTTCGGCTTCCGGCAGATATGAATCTTCCTCCGGCTCAGGCTCAGATTGCTCCACCTCGGACTCGTAGCCCTCCTTTAGTTGTTCGGCCACTTCGATATAATCCAAATCAGCGAAGTACTCGTCGCCAGCATCTTGACCGCCTTCATTGGCCATCGTTTCGGTGAGCAGATGGCCGGCATAGATGCATATAAAGGCGCCTTTTGGGATGTCGTTGACGCATCGCAGTCCCCAACCTCGATTTGAGGTCTTGAAAACCTGCAATTTCATCTCCAGCGAGTGTTGGACCACACGATTGAGGCAGTTCTTCTTGCATTTACAGCGGGAGTTGCACTCGTAAATGCCGGTAGGCACATGCTCGTGCAGCCGCTTATACTGGTATCCAATCTCCTCGATGGGCTTTTTGGGGTTGCAGTACTTTACACCCGCCACTGTCAGTTGCCAGCAGGAGCACTTGGACTTGTCCTAAGATGTAAGAAACAAATAACTAAATCGTGATCAGAAATAATAGAAACACAAACCCACCGAGCAATCGTCATCGCAATCGCAGCCCACAAGGAATTCCTCATCAAGATTTAAATGCACTCCCTCGGTGGGGATTCGCTGCTTGGCGTAGGTGCATGGCGGAGGCAGGGAGTTGTCGTAGTAGTTAACCAGCGGGATAGCCATTTTCTCCTGGCCCTTGGATATGTCCGCCTCTTTGACAATCGTAGGATCGATTGAGTATTCAGCCAGACACTTCAAGTCCGGTGTGAAGTCAAAGTTATCCACATTCAGTACATTTTCGGTTTTCCGAAGGTAGTAGTGTACCTCCCCCAAGGAACGCAGACTTTTGCCACACGGTCCCCTGTAAACAACGTTCTTTTTAGTCTTTTGGCGCAGCACCAAGCGCTCCCAGCCAGATAGCAGAGGCTTAGCGAGGGGGCTGTAACTGTCAAGGCGGTGAGCGATCTTGAACAAACAGCCCGAGTTGCACTCGTGGGGCCGGTAAATCTTTGGTGGCAAGTTTCGCTTGGCCGTGAAATAAACAACATGGCCCTTTGGGCGATTCTCATCGTCGACGTATATGGTCGAATTGTTTAAATGCTTAACTGGTCCGCGGTTAGCATTTGGTGCACTACTGCGGCTGGCAGCAGGTGTATTTGCGGGAGAGGAAGAGGCGGCTGAGGCAACGGCGCCTTGGGCGACGGAGCTGCTTTTGCGGGCCATGGCACGCATTTGTTGGTTCACCTGCATGTTGCTCGATTCCATCTCCTTGGTGTAGCGAATGAAGGGTTCTGTGCGCTGGAAATAAAATTGAATATTAATATTAAGAGTATTCTATAAAATTAATTTGGAAAAACTTACTCTTGGCACGCGAGCATGGTGAGCGTTAGCATTGCTCAAGGCATTCTGGGTTTCCTTGAATACCGGACCCAGTCTTAAGGATCCCCTGTAAATCCACTCAGTGTGATTTTTTTCCGCCTCAAAGTGCATCAGAACCAGGCTACAGTCGATGTCAATGACGCGCGCATACAGCCAGGTGCCATTCGACTCAGTGTTCATGCTCTGGCCGCGGGTGCACTGCACCATAGGCCTATCAACCGAATACTTTTCCACGTACTTCTGGATAAAGTCGCGAGACGCGGGGTGCACATCCTCCCAAACCTTTTCAGAGGCCTGGCACACCAGACGAACATCCCGATGCTGCACATACTGCGTATACCCATCATCATAGAATATAAGGTATCGGAATCGATTGGCCTGCTTCAGCGGCTCGGCAATAATACCCGGATAGAAAGCACTCTGAACAACGCCTTTGTCTTTTCCTCGGCTCAGAGTGGAGCCATCGAAGTAAGCAATTACTCGGGTGCCTGAAACGCGATACTTATAAACAAAAACAAACATTCTGAATGCTAGGAGACCCACCGATAGTCAGGCGCACTGGCGGCGGCTCAAAGTAAGCTATGTGCTTGGCCGTGACTGTTTTCACCATCTGGTACGGAGTGTTTAGATACTTGATCTTGTAGCTCTTCATCGTATTTCCGCCGATGGCTGTGCTTTCCGAGAACTCGATCACCTTTATCGATACCCAACTGGCTATAGCCTTATTCTTAACGGCGTAGTAGGTTTCACCAATCTGGATAGGTGGTCTCTCGATTTCTCCTGCTGGAGGTACTTGCTATACAGAACACAACAACCATTATTACTAAAATTTAAAAGCTTTTATTATAGGCCTACCATATATTCGCCTATGTTGTGTTGAAGGTCCAGCGGCGGCAAGTGCTTGTGCACCACCGTGCAGGAAGTATAAAGGTCCCAATGCATTTTGTCGGCGACGCTCTGTACCGCTTCCATTTCCTTTTCGGCCAACTCAAAGTGTCGCTCCAAGCGCTCTGCCTTGGCCACCAGGATGGACTTGGACCAGCTAAGCTGGTCCTTGAACCCCACCCGGTTGAGCACAGTTGCAATGGCATCTTCCAATTCATTTTCAACCAGTTTCAGATCGTTTGTGGAAAGCTCTGGTTTCTCTGCAAGAAAAGGTTTGTTTAGAAATGTGGCGCTTCATACTGCAATGAATGTCTTACCCTCTACTTTGTTATCCTCTTCCTCTTCATCGCTACTATCCAGAGCCACAAAATCGTCTTGATCCTGAGGGAAATCCTTTAGCAACAACGGTTGCTTCTCCATCAGGTAACCGGCATATTGCTAAAATTTTCATTGATCACCTGTATGCATAAATAAGTTAAAAGGCTGCCTCTTACCTCATACATCTCCATGGCTGCATCGCTACATCCAGTGCAGACGAACTGCTGCTTGGATACCTTCCTAGTAACTTTGTAAAAGTTCAAGGTGGCCATATTGGCCAGCACGAACTGCTTGTGGAGCCTCTTGCAGTTGCAATTCACGCAATCTTTGCCATAAAATATATCACCGTCCCACGTGAGGTTATTTTGGTCCACGTCCATTTTTTGTTCTACTTCTACTGCCTTCTTTTCCAGCTTGACTTCAAGGGCATCATCAGGTTCAGTAGGCTTCGGAGACCCTTTCATTTCTTGTTCTGCATCCCTGGAAGTTTCAGTGGAAGTGCCTGCCTTCTTCTCCTCCTGCTTTTTGCCTTCTTTTGGTTGATCTCTGCCAGCAGAGTCTTCTGAGGTAGGACTGCTGATCAATTCAATGCTGCTGTCTGCCAATTCGGCCTCCTCGTTTTTTTCCTCCTTAGCGAGGGCATTCGACGGCGATTCTTCAGCTGCTTTCTTGCGCTCGTCCCCAGACTTATTGGAAGGAGGGGACTTGACTGGACTATCTATTACCTCGACGCTGCTGTCTGAATCAATCTCAACAGGAGCAAGTTCCTCGGCTGTTTTAGTACCGACCTCAACCGGCGAACCACATGCCACTTCGACCTCGGATTTGTCGGAAACTATTTTGGCTGGATTATCTTCTGCATCCATAAGAGGAGGTTCCTCGGACTTAGGGTCCGCCATCTCCACATCGTCTTCAATGGTGGGCTTCCCCTTTTCTTCCAGCACAGTGGGCTCAGCCGGAATTATTTCTGCAACACTCGGCGAGCCGGCATCGACTTTTTCCTTCTCCGCCGTAGGTGCTGGCTCCGCTCCTTGCCTATCCTCACCTGTGCTTTCTGTGGCGTCCCCACAATCCATGGCTTCTATTTCTGACGACATATCTTTTCTTATCCGATTTTAACTCTTACAGACATGAATGCATGCAAGCATTCAAACCGAAAATATCAAGCCAATGCGAAAAGTGGTTAGTGTTGGGTAATGTTAGCAAAAATATTCAACAGCACTCAAGAAGAAGAACAGACATTCACACTGGGGTAATTGCAACTTTCATATTAACGGATATTTAAAAAATTGGTTATGCAGTGCGGAAATTATTTATTTGGGAACAACTTGTGTCTTTTTAAGCCTCCAACACCTTCGGGTGGTAGCCAGTCTCGTCAGCAGTGTAGGTGACCTTCACAAGCTTGCCATTGGGAGCCACGTACTCATATTCGCCATTAACAACCCAGGTATCATGCTCCTTTAGGACACCAGCTTGCACAGCCTTGATGTGGTTGGACAGTTCGTAGACGTAGTTAAAGTCCAGCACGTTGACCTCCGCGTCATTCTTCAGAACTTCAGCTTCCTCGTTGGCGAAAGCAACGGCCAACAGGCAGGCGAAAACAATCTGGGGAAAGGTAAAACTTCGGTTTAGGTTGTCCAAAATAATGTTTCTCTTTACCCACTCACCACAAACTTCATGGTTTTAAGACAATAGATGCGAACGCTTCAAGTGCGAAACTAATCTGAATCTAAAAGAGCAAAACTCTGCTTATATAGTTATCGTATGACATTTTACTGGCTCTTGCCGAAGCGCATAAATTTAATTTCTAACTGGCTTCATAAGGACGTTTGTTTCAATTAAAACAAAACACATTGATGGGGGCATGTTGCAGGCATTAATTATGGCCAGAAACTGATATCTGATCTGCGGAATATTCCATTTTGCCGGCCGTTCATCAATTGTCACCAATGTATGATAGGCTCACCGGCTTTTTTTCTGATAAGCGGAAACCGGTCGCTAGCATGAAGCAAATTATTTTCTATTTATTCGGTATTATGCAGATTTGCCTAATTTAGAGATAACTTGACTATCTTTCGAATATCTATCTTCTGAAATATATAACCGGTTTTAATTAATCACAGATAATAATGCATGTTTGATTCCGTGACCTCGAAGTGTCAGATGCATTTTTAAATGCTTGGCGCGCATCGTAAGAGTGTTGGAAAACCCGTTCTGCCACTAACCAACTCTAGACTGGCATTCACAGTGAACGCCACGTGCTAGAAGGAGGAATTGTTTGGACCTGCACGACATCTGAATCTGTGCCCAGGGTATCTAACCATGGCCAGTGATTCCGGCAGCGACTATGAGGTGGAGGCCTTCATCAAGCCGAAAAGGATCAGGAAAACCGTCAACGATGACAGCGCAGATCTGCTGGGCAACTTCGATGACGAGAAGCGCAAAGAGATCTTTGAGGGGACTTACGTCGACAAAGAGGATCCACGCAATCCAAGTGATCGGGAGGAAAGTGAGGATGATGATGAGGAGCGTTCCGATGGAGAGCAAGGTGTAGAAGAAAACAGTGAGGGCTCAGAGTCCGAGGATGACGCTGAAGAAACCCCTGGAAACGGCTCGATAACAAATGACCAGTTGAGCTCCCTGCTCCGCGGAGCTTCCAAGACCAACAGACACGTTGTGTATGTTACCAACCTCAACTTTGAGACTACCAAGGATGATCTGGAGAACCATTTTGGTGCTGTAGGAATTGTGAAATCCATACGCATCCCAAAGAAACGTAGAGGAGGCTTCGCCTTTGTGGAAATGGCAGACCTGCCGAGCTTTCAGCGCAGCTTTCAGCTGCACAACACCGAACTTCAGGGGAGAAACATAAAGGTGCAGATCTCTGAGGCAGGCAAGAAAAAGTCTGCCAACAAGAAAAACATCATCAAACAGAAGAACCGAAAGCTAGCTGAAATGCGCAATGAACAGAAGACCTTCACCAAGAGCGGGAAGTTCTACGACAAGGACCTCAAGAAGGAGAAGGCTAAGGAGCTACTGGCCCGCAAAAGGTGGCGCAAGAAGCCGGCCGCCCCTAGGTCCTAATTAGTTTAACTTATATACCGTTAACTGTAGAAGAACTTACTTATTATTAAAAACAAATTAAATTACAACTATCCAACAACTATTTCCAGCGTACAATGTAAAAGTTTCGCTTTCCTACTCGTAGTAGCGACACTCCGTTGCGAAGAATGTGTATTCCGGCAGTGATGACTTCGGCAATATTCTGGACACGCTTCTGGTTCACGTAGAAGCCGCCTGCATTTATGATGCGAACGGCATCCGCTGTGAATAAAATTATATCAGTTTATGATTCTCCAAAGTCTTATCACAACCTACTTTCGGTGGGAAAGCACTTGGCATTCATGGCCAGCTGGAGGATCGACATTCCCGGCTCAGTCAGTAGGTCGACCACAGTCGCTCCTTGAAAGGTCTGCTTTATTTCGTCGTAGTTCAACTCGGCGAGACCCTCGACATTGCCCTTGTACAAGGCATTAGTGACTCGCTCAGCCTGTTTTAAGCCATTTTCTGTAAAAATAAATTATAGAAAAAGCTAGATCCTTCTGAAATGATTACCTACCGCCATGCACCAAAAGGGTGACGTCCTCAGCAAGTAGCGTCTGCGCCTTGCGCTTCTCTGGCTCTTTGGTGTGTTCCCGCATCAACTGCTCGATTTCTGGCAGTGGAATAAAGGTAAAGAGTCTAAGTAGCTTCTCCACTTCGGAGTCGGCCATGCGCAGGAAGAACTGATACAGAGCAAAGGGCGAGGTTTTGTTTCCCTCCAGCCAAACGGCATTGCCCGCCGATTTTCCGAACTTGTCGCCCTCTTCATTGGTCACCAGCGGCAGGGTCAGACCGAAGACCTCTCGCTTTCGCTCTACACGACTGATCAGCTCGTGGCCCGTCATCAGGTTGCCTGTCTGATCTGAGCCGCCCATTTGAAAGCAGCAGTTGTGGCGCCGCAGCAGATGCAGCCAGTCGTAGGCCTGGAAGATCTGGTAGGTGAATTCTGTAAAGCTCATTCCGTCCTCCGATTCAAGACGCGACTGCACCGAGGACCGTGAAAGCATGGAGCCCATACGGAAGTGACGGCCCATGTTGGCCACGAAGTCGATGAGCTGCAGGTTCTTGTACCAGTCCGCATTATTGACGATGCTGCGCAGAAAGAATTAATTAATTTCCCATCTAGTAAGGGCAAAGCAAGACGATTCACTCACGTCAATGGAGGTAACGGAGATGGGTTCTTTCTCGTGTCCCAGAGGAACTTCTCGTGGTTCTCAAACACTCGCCTGAGCTGTTGCTCGATGGCTTTCAGGTTAGTCTCAATGACTGACTCCCCCAACTGGTTGCGCTCCGTCTTACGACCACTTGGGTCCCCTATGAGACCTGTGGCGCCTCCAACCAAGGCAATTGGTCTGTGACCAGCTCTTTGGCAATGGATCAGGCCCATAATCACCAGAAGATTTCCCACGTGTAGGCTGTCGGCGGTGGGATCGAAGCCGGCATAGATGCTCTGCACTCCGCTGGTGAAAAGCTGTTTCATTCTTGGCCTAATATTTAAGAGTTTTCATTCAATAAATGGGATTTAAAGCGGTTCTTGAAAAGGGTGAACTTACGCTGCTGTATCTGGAAATATTCCCTGAAAGAAGCCCCGGTCTGTCAGCTCCAGCAGGTTCCTCTGGCCCAAGTGGCGCCGACTGGAGAGGCATCCTAGCTGGAACGCCTTCAGCAGGCCTATCCGCACCGGTATCATTATGAACAGCCAATCCTTATCTTCACGAGCAACGAACCACTATTGTGAAAGAGTGGGTCAGCTGGTGACAGTCAGCTGATGGTCTCGTTTCGCTGTGAATGGCAACAACAGCTTGTTCCCAACAAAGAACAAGTTGTTTACTATTTCGGGGATAGACTGGTGTGGATTTGCGTGCTCTAATCTGGCCAGATAATGCTGATATCGCAACCATGCTGCTGAAGATTCGCCACGCCCTGCTCGAGGTCACTAATCAACCGCCAACAAAGCAGTCCGCTGTCCTAATCAATAATGAAATCATCATAAGTTCAGGGAGCATTCTGATACCTCATTTATTGACCTCCGATGAAGACAATGGCGAGGCGAACAAAGACATTGTGGCCAGGCTGCAGCAGGGGCAACTGGTCGATGTGCAGCAGGAAGAGGAGTACGGCAAGCGACTCCGGTCTCTTAACTTTGTGGTGACCTTTGATCCGCAGCAGCAGCGCCCGCGCCCGAATGCTGCATCAGGATCCCGATCCAGGCAGTCTCACATCCTCACCCGATTTACGGCGTACCCGTTGTACGTGTTCTGTGCCCCGGAGGTGTTACGAAACCTGAGTAACATACTTTTTGCCGCGGACTCTGGCGATGAGGGCTCCCAACTGCTGCGATCTTGCTTTGTGGTTCTGGGCATGCGGCCCCCAGTCCAGGCAGAGCGCTTCAAGCGTTTCCTGGCCCACATTGGTCACTACTTGCGCCATCTACAGCCTGTACAGACCCTGGACGACGTGCTGGTCATGTGCTCGCCCTTTGGTCTGGAGAACTTTTACAAGACGATCAGCATAGGGAAAGTGTCGAACGTGATGGGACGTAGTGGCTGCTTGTTTGCCATATCCAATGCCCTGCCCCTGGGCTGTGAGGGATCTGCTGTGTTCAACAACAAGTTGTAAGTATAGAATTTTCCGATGGGTTGCCTCCAAGTACTAAAACGGTGAATCACCCCAACAGGCGTCTCATAGGCATAGTAATATGCACTTCGTTCCAGAGGCATCAGGAGAATGTTAATCTTACCATGGCTGTCAACTTTGGCTACCTGCTTCGCAGCTTTATGGAGCACCTAGGCATGCCCGTCGCCCAGTTTCAGTTCAACCGGGAGCCCTCGACCTTTGCTTGTAAGAACTGAAGTACTGGTTTCTAAATGATAATTAAATAATTACACGTTCTCTCCAAAAGGGGAGCGCACAATTCTGGTGATCTACACGGCAGGTCAACAGGGCACTGGTACCTTCATTAGAGTTCACAACAAGCGCTTCATCTTGACGTGTGCCCATGTGATTGGAAAGGTAAGCAGGGCTCTCAGTTACTTTGTATTTTGAACTATATCCAATATCGTTCCATTTAGGAAACTTCCACAGTCACTTGCCGTTCCGCTGATCGGGAATTCCTGTCAGAGGTTATCTGGTGCAATCCGGACAGCGATCGGCCCTTTGACTTGGCCCTACTAACCGCTCCCGAGGATGTTCCAGAGCGCTGCTGCGTTCGCTTGGCCAAAAAGCCAGCTGCAATCGGACAAACCGTGTACAATGCTGGATTTCCCAATTACGTGAATTTCAGCTTCAAGCACGATTTTAGTCCCTCCATTTTCCAAGGGCGGATCATCAAGTGCGACACGGGAGCCATTATGTCGGACGGAAGTGTGCAGGCCGGGCAGAGTGGCGGCCCCATGTTTGACGAAAGCGGTTGTATCCTCGGCGTTTGTGTGTCCAACGTAAAGATGGACGATCATATATACCCCAACATAAATACAGCAATTCCTATCTGTGATATTCGCAATACACTCCAGCAATTTGCCCGGACAAACGGTAGGTTGCCATTAAACTCGAAGTATAACCCAGTACTAACCCAATTTTCTAGATCTTCAAGTGCTCAATAACCTGGTGGCCAGTCACGATGTGCAAAGAGTGTGGTCTTTGGAAATGCCGCCCATTCGGAGCAAACTTTGACTTCTACACTTATCTGTTTAATGTTATTTGTAATTGTATCATAGTGTGGTATTTTGTAATAGCAATAGAAAAAAATAAATCTTATAAATGAAATATATATTTTCAATTATTAACTCCTTCCTATTTGTCATTAGTTCTTGTCCAAGCAATCATTTACGTGACTTTGCAACACGCTCAGGTTTTTAAAGGTCTTGGAGCAGATGGGACAGCGCAAGATACTTTCAGCTGTTGATGCAGCGGCTGCAGTGGGGTCCAGGACCTGTTTCAGAAGAAAAACATTAATCAGATTGTGCAATTATAAGTCAAGTGATTTTACTCTAACTGGTCTTTGGTCCTCCCGTAGACTGTGTCGACTGGAGCTTAGGGATGAGGCTGGCGAGGACTTGATACTACTGCTCTTATGCGACTCGGCAAGTGCTTCGATGAGCTCCTGGTTCCGCCTCTGTAGTGCCTTCAGGTCCAACAAATACTGATCCTTCTCGCCAGCATTCTTTTCACGGTCAGCACGCTCCATCTCGAAATCCTTGCGATAGATGTCGTTCTGTGTCTGCAGATGTTCAATGACTTCCTGCTTCTGCGCGTCTTTGGCTTTTAGCTCGCTTATGTCTCGCTGCATTTTGTCCATTAGCTCTTGTGCACTGGTCAAGTTTACTTTCAAGCAATCAATCTTCTCCACATAGGTTTTTTTCTAAGGATATTAATTTCATCATAGTATTGGAGTGAAGAAACATGCGACAAATGTTCTTACCATATCCTTGATTTCTAGGTTCTCAGCCAGCAATTGGGATAGTTGTTGTTTTAGCTCCCGCACCTGCCGATCGTGTTCTTCCCTTTGCACATAATTTAAAGCCGTGCCCTCGCTTTCCTTCGCCGCAGTGGCTCCGTCATCAGGTACAAATTCGAACGAGTGCTGCAATGTTAGGAAAAGAGTGGGAAGCCCCAACCGGCGCTGTTATATATTCCAGTGAAATGGTATTGCGCAGTAACAACCAAGGGCTGATAACTAAGTGCGACCCACTATCTAATGACTTATGTGGTCTAATGATTGCCACAACGTACCATCTTTAGCTGTTGCAGCTTGTCGATTTCCACTCGCATGTTGTTAATTAGGGACATCTTCTCCGAAGCGCTTTGACGCAGCTCGTCCTGTTCTTTTTGGTTCAGACTTTGCACCAGTTCAATCTGTTCCATTTTGGTCTCGAGCTCCTCCCTAAGCTGCTGGTTTTCTTGGCTCAACTTCTCCACCTTCTTCTGGCACTCGAGTAGTTGATCTCTGTAGTGTTGCTCCCTTTTAGCGGCTTCCTGACGCCTCTGCTGTGTTAGTTTGTGGTAGTTTAACATTGTGCAGCTTAACTTGTCCAAAGTGCCTGCAAAATGAAGAGTTTTAATGGTTTTAATGGTCACTTCTTGATGAGATTTGGCTTACTTTTTAAAGCATGGTATTCACTCAGCAGGTTCTGTAGCTTCACGACATCCTCAGCTGAAGCTTGCAGCGAGCATAGGCTGGGAAACTGCGAATAGACACTGTTCTGTGGGGAAAGGAATGTTTTATGTAACGCATAAATGGACGTACGGCAGGTATTTACCTTGAGGACATCGGAGCCAACTTCGCCCATGATGAAACTGGCTGCCAGGGACTGAGGAGCACCTCCGGTCTCCAAGGATCTCTGTGGTTCAGAGGTACTAGAGCTGATGGGGTGATCACTGGAGGATTGAAGCATTGCGGCTGATTCGATCACCTCCTCGCCATGCTCCATTCCATCGAAAAGAAGGGAGGGTAGAGGTGAGCTGCCCAGAATGACGAACGACTCTTCCTCGGACATGACGGCTTCGTTGGCTTGCACAGAATGCCGAAAAGCACAAATGATCGGCGATCTCGACAGTCAACCTGGGATTCCCCGTTTTCGAAATATTCGCTTGACAACACGATCAACAGGTCCAAAATTACGCCAGCCTATTTTGATGATCGAATGAGAATATAACTAAAAATCGCAGACATATGTAATTATTGATTCCATTGCAGCAAGGATATATATTATATATATTTGATTGTGTTTATGATTCATAGGCATACGGGTTTTCCGTATCTATGATTCGTGGAAAATCGTGAGGTTCTTTCGATTCTTGCAATTTAACCTTACCGTATCTTTTTAATAGGTATTACGCATATTTGTACGACGCACCGCCAATTCCAGAACTTTTTGTAAATAAGATCTGCCTGTCGCTCTATTTTTATTTACATTTTGCTTTATATTTATAGTTCAGTGTTACCAGTTTGTGATGTTGCAGTTTCCCCGAAAACACCGCATCTGTGAATTTTTCGTGATATTTATTAAAATTTAGTTAATATTAATTTTAATTTAAAAATTTCCATGTATACATGTACTTTTAAAATAAAACAACAGTTTTAACAAAGTCTTTAAACAATTTTAATCGAATATATCGAATGTGCGCTTAGTGTTGGAAAATTCATGATAGTGTTTTATGGCGCGCGTTTGAATCGTAAGCTTTATCGCTTCATGGGGGCATATCACTTTTATCATGCTAATTGAGGGGCTTAAAATTGCAATTGAATGGTGGAAAATACCCACATCATTCATTCTGATTGCAATTAATCCGCTATTGTTTTCAGGGTCAAAATTGGAATACCTGATTAACCGGCTGAGCTGCGGAATTACATCAAATTGTAATTGCCGAAAATTCTGGGATTCTAATTGCCTGGCAAACCGGATCCATTACGCCCCCCTGCGACAAGTGACACCCATTGTTCGAAAGATGTGGGTTAATAAGACTTTCGTGTGCTTAAAATGGCTATGGGTGTGTGTCGCGACAAGGAACTGGTGTCTGAATGGACGGTGGAGATGCGACTTTCGTTATTACCATAACTAACCGGTTTGGAGCTTCGCCACATTTCAGAAATAAACACAATCTTATGGCTTTTAATTTCATCTTGTATATATATTTAAAGAATCTCTATGTCTTTTGATCTTACAGTCTAATGCACGTGAATAAATAAAATTAAAGAAAAACTTAAACTCGGTTACGATTCGAAATTCGATTAAAGCTCAAAGTGCATTTTCCAGAAAGATTTTACGCAGCTAGAACTAGAATCGCCGATCAAACGCTTCGTCACACTCACACCTCAAAGATACACATTCATTCGATCCACACACACACCGGACTTAGATCTAAATATTTGCACGCTCCAGGACCTTACGCCCGCTACTGCTGCTGGTGGGCGAGGCGCCTCTGCACCTGGTGCGGTGGCTGGAGGTCGCGCTGCAAGATCGAGGCAAAGTGCTGCTGTTTCAGGGCGCTGATGGAGGCGATTTTCCGATGCCTGTTGCCCTGGGCGGCAGCCAGGCCCAGTCGGAAAACAGGAAGGTCCTCGTCGTGGGGCATGGGTTTTTGGCGGTCCTCCTCGACAGGGGACCCATCTGGGCGCACGCGTATGACCAGAGGTCCGGTTAGGAACCGCTGGGGTGGCATCTCACTGCTGGACTGCTGCACGGCTGGGTAGCCATAAGCCATGTCCATGTCCATGGCGTACTTGTGCTTCTGCTCGCCGCTGGTGTCGAAGAGCGGATTGGAGCTTTGGACAGCCGAAGACGGCAGCTGCTGGCGGGTGAGGATGATCAGCGAGGAGGCTGGCGGCGTGGGCAGGGGCTGGCCTAGCGGCTGCCTGGTGGTCACCAGACTGGCCCCACTCGGATGGTCCCCCATGATCGATGCCCAGACTGCGGAAGAGCAGAGAATAGCAGGTGAGATCTCACGTCCAGCACGTCGCATATTTGCGAATTTGCGGAAGTTCTGACGCGGAAACCCGCGTCAGCTCTCCCACGCTCCGATCGATGACGATAGCGACCGAGATGGCGCTGAAGATACTTACTGAGCTCGTTGGCATCGCGCTGGTATGGATCGAGGGCCTCCAGCTGGGCGTCGGAGAGTTTCTGCAGCTGAGTGGATCCATATCCGAGCAGGTTGTGCTTGCACTGGTTCACCGGGAGCCCTCCGCCCACCGTCGACTTGCAGTGCACACTGACTAATTGGGCAAAGGTGGAGTACAGGTGGGACATCTGCACAGAGGGAAAAACGTGACGAAAGGAATGTGTTAAACTTTAGTTATTTAGGTAGTCCTCCCCCCACATCTATGAAATTAGCTTTAAACGATGTAACATGGAATGTGGAATATTAAGTTGCACTCTTTTCCTCACGGTGTAGCCTATGCAGAGGTGGGGCTACCTGTGTACCCATCTATTTAGTGGGTGGAATGTCGCAATGTGCGTATGTCGTCGCGGCGTGGAGATGATTGCACTTTCGTTGCACAAACGAAATGCATTTCGACAGCGCCGTCGGGTTAAATGTTGGGTGGTGGGGGCGAGGCGGTTGGGCAACTGCTCCCAGGCGGCGGCGGGTGTGTGCTCCAGTTTTGGGCCGCGGATGGCGGTTGCCGGTTCAGCGGGCAAAGCAGCTCTGGCAGCAGCTCTGGCCCATTGTCTATTCTCCGTGGCTAGCGAAGCGTTGAATGGACTTTTAATTAGCGCGAATGTTCTGCGACTGATGTGTCACAGCCTCTTCGCTCCAATCGCGTCGGCTTGGAATTTCTCCGCCAGGTGACGTCAGTCCCCACGATAATCAAATCGCAGAAACTCCCCAGAAAATCCAAATCCGGCACTTCTCACGCATTAGCACCCCTGGACTGGGCAAACAACGAACAAAGAAACTGAGGCAGATTCCCCAGAATTGTGTCAGACACATATCTGGGCCACTTGGAGGAGGTGTCCAGTATCTGCATGTTCCGGGCCTCGGTGGAAACCCTTGATCTGCTTCTGCTTCTGCTTCCATCGAGCAGAAAGCCATCGGAGGTGGTGTTACAACTTTACGCTGTTTGCATAATGCAAGAAGCGGATCAGGGCGGGCAGTGGCGGATTGGCAGTTGGCCGCTGGCCGGTGCCTGGTGGCGGATGGCCAAAAGGGGAGTTGGCTCGCATTTCCAATTACCGTTACCTCCGCCAAAGCGCACAAACGTGTGCAAACTGTAAAATGCAATCGCTCCTCCGAGTGTGTGCTTTTATTAAAATATTTTATGGCAGCGAAAAAATGTAAAGTCGATCGATTTCGGATAAGTCATGTCTAAGACCTTGTTTTTCTAATTAGAGGGTTATAGCCTGAGGGGGCGTAGAGGGTTAAGCACTTGCCAGTACTACGTTCCAGACCGTGACATAATATAATATTTAGCAGGAATGCAAAGCTTACAGAAATCTTAAATGTGTCTTAATAATTTATGGCGCCTGAGTGGAGATTACCTTACCGGGATTCGTCAAAGTCACGTACATTATATACTCACTCGTATAATATCTATACACTCGTGATTATTAAAATATGTAGATTTGAGATCGTCGGAGACGGGCTGTAATTCATTAGCCTTCCCAGGTAAGTGACTAAGCTGACATCGATTAGGCACTTTTATAGATAGCCCCGAGTGATCTTGGCCTGAAACCTTGCCCACTCTCCCACTTCCTTGCTAACTGAGAAGACTTCGGAATAGCCGAATCACCCGAAAATAGCCCACCTAGCTGCCTGGGGACAGACATGGGCGTAACCACATGGACCGCACAGTTCAATAACCTGTTGATATGCGCAGGTTACATTATGAAACATCGAATTGCCAACGAAAGAAATCAACGGAAAACAGAAAACAGAAACGAAATGAAACACATTTCATAACAGACTGGGTAAAAAACAAAAAACGGCGGATATTAAAGAGAAGACCCCGTAATGACTCCGGTTCGGAAAGGTTCCAATGCGGGTTTCCATTGCGATTACCCTGCCCGCCTCTGCGCCTGCGTGTGGATGTCCCCAGCACACAGCATACTTTACGTAAAATCCAAAAAGTAATGCGAACATAAGTTATTTATTGAAGTTCGAGCGGCAAACCGGCTAAACGCGTTTGCACCCATAAAAACATAAAGGGCAGAAACTAAAAAAAAAGTCCCACCAGAAAATGAGCTAAACGTTGTTTATTTTTGCAATCGAAAATCGAAAGCGCTAGACATCGGCGGTGCAAAAAAAAAAAACCAGGGAGAAAACACTTGACCGCAAAACAGGAAGCATTATCTACAAGTCCGGCCTGGACTGATCCCAGTCATCTGGGATGCGAATTGCGTTTCTATATTTTGGCGGATAATTGCATTTTTTTTTGGAGACTCTGTAGAGATTATTTTCTCATTTGCGGGGGTGCCGGATGTGGCTCCAATGGGTTCTAGCTGGATCTGATTACATTATTCCCCAGCATCGCTATTGTTTCGAAGCGGACTGGAAACAAAGCTGGCAAATTTAAGGCGCAGTTCGCGTGCTTAGCGGTCAAAAAAGCGGCTCGAATTGATGAGCTGCCAGAAACAAAAATCCAGAAAAAAAAAATCTAATGACTGGCAAACCGCCTTACATAAATACAAATAAAGTCCATCAATTAATTTATAAGCAACTAAAAACAGCCATTAAGTCTATTTATACCCGCCATCCACATTGGCTTTGGAGTTCATTAACCAAAAAACACATCACAAACATTGCAGCGTTGTTATGCTTTGTTGCACAAACATTTTGAGCTAAAAAGTGAAAAGCATTAATTTCTTCAAGCGGGAAAGTATAGGAGGGGCTTGGCATGAAAATTTTAAAAAATCTGACCCTCACCAATGAGATATAGCTGGGGCTAGATGTTTAGAAAACATCCTATTTTTTGGCCAAAATGACTCGACAAGACTCGAAAGCGCTCGAAGTGGCGTGAAGTAGACCGGTATGCTCCCATTATCTTGGCAATTGTTTGAGCTTGAAGCCATAACTTCTGATAACGCACAATGTCAAGATCGCGGTACTCGGCTGGCGGCTATTTATGCCAAGGACCGTTCTCCACAGTTTCGAGCAAGCCAACATCTTGGTTACGATGCCAATCTGCCATGGTACAGTTATGCAAATGAGCCGATCGAATACCGCTCGCCGAGTTGGCCCGCCTTGTCAACCATTCATATTCATATTCACAGCTTTGTCTTCGGCGAACAGAAGCGGCAAGCGCCGTTAATATGCGAACTCATTGAAGTTATCACAACATCACCATATCAATATCAATATCAACATCAACATCCACTCAATGTAGTTATTAATAAGTATTCAGCGCTGCGCTAGATTCCACCTAACAGACTCGACTGACCGAACAGATGCGCAATGCCAAGGACAGATGTATGTAGGTGCCTGGCTGACGGGGCGTATGCGCAACGTGCATTGGTCTCCACGGCGTATGCGCAATCTGCGGAATGCGCCCCTCGCCACCTTTCTCCTATCTTTGGCTTACCTTTTCGTTGCGCGTCAAAAACTCCCAGATGGGAATGGCCGATGACGAGCTCATTTGCATGGAGAAGGCGCCCAGCAGGCAGCAGGCCAAGATTACTTTCGCCGCCGCGGTCATAGTGATGTCTTGTTGTTTCTGAGTACTTCGTGATCCGTAGCCCCGGTCAATTGGGCGCTCTTTACACCGTTGTGCAACCTTTCGGGCAGCGACTTTCTTTTGTCTTCTTCAGGGTCTAGGGTCCAGTCGAAAGTCTGGACCGTGCCGATGATGGAACAGCACTGGCGGGAAAGCTGGCGGACTTTCGTTGGGTCGTCGTCGCACTTGATTGAATTAGCCAAAACAACGAGCGTGGCCAATTTGTATTATCTCTGTTTTTTTTTCGGGTGTATGTACGTGTGTCTCAGCAGCTTAAAACGCAAAAGCTCGTTTCACACATCGATATTGGTCTGTGGGTAGGTCTCCGGGGTAGATGGGGGGAGGCGGGAGGAGCCACTCGATCACGAAAACGATTCGGATTCAGCGAATTCCAAGTGGAACGGAAGCAGAGAGCGAAGAGCCAAAGCACAACCGGCCGCGTCAAAGTCTGAGACTCGTCTTTGCCGTCAGCGGCCCGGGCGCTCGTATTTAAGCTCTAAGCCAGGCTTGGAGCTGGCTCGGCGAGAGAGAAAAGAGAGGTGAGAGCGCGGACGAGCCGCTGAGCGAAAGCGAGGGGCTAGCGGGAGCCACTGAGCGAAAGCAGGGGCGCGCACTTGTCTTCTAGGGAGTATATAGGGTCAGATAGGGTCCTTGGATCTAGTTTCAAGGATATAACGACATAAATACTCCCTTAGGGTTTTAAGAAATTAAAAGCTTATTAAAATATATATATAAATGAAGATGATCTGGTAGGGATCGTGTGGAATCTGGTAGGATACTACCCCCCCCCACGTTTAAAAATGATTCACATCCGAACCCTTCCATCTACGACTATGCGTGATCTTGGCAAACTTGTTCTACGCTTGCACTGGAAATAGAAATTATAAAAAAAAAATCAACGTAAACATTCGAAAATTCCAAAAACAATAAAAAAAAGGCAAAAAAGTAACATCGACGAACATCGGCGGGGCACTGCACAAGATTCAAAGCCAAGTTTGCGTCGTCATCGGGTCTGGCGGAAAAAGAGCTGGGGGCCTTTTTGGCCCGGCTCGTCTCGGCATTTGTAATTTATGATTGTTTATCTGCTCGGCAGTAACTAAATTCGCGAATTCTGGTCAACAGCTACATGATGTCGAGTATTTAACAGCGATCTGCTAATTAAACAAAATAAACACATCAAATCCTACAATATAATGCACGAAGGCGCCACAATCCTGTTTGCCTTTTCAGTTTGGAGGTTCCTGAGGAGGAGAGAGTGCGCCGTCTAATTGAATTATCCAAAGAATGCGATCACTGGAATTTCCTAACATTTAGGGCCCATAAACTTGATAAGCTCTGATCCAGTTGAGTCACCCCGGGCTCCGGAAGAAGCAGCGCACTGGAATGCAGCCACCACAGTAGGTCGTTGACCTGGTCGACCTGCGATAATGATCGGCCTTCTTTTCTGCCTCGAATAAAGGTTCTTCGCTTGTCCAGGATGACAATGGAACCCTGGAACATTAACGGTCCAATACTGAAGTATTTGAAGAAATCAGTTACCAAGATTCTTGAATGCTCTTATTAACTTTATAGGTAGATACTTTTAACAATTAATATTTTTCAAATGTGGTTATACTTCAGGAAGTTACCGCCGTAGCGACTGCCTCCGCCGTAGAGATCCCTGTCATCGTTGTTGTTGTACATCATAAAGGCAGAGTTCTGGTCGCCGTCTTCGCCAAATATGGGAACAAAGCTGCCCAGGCTCAACGACTGCTTCAGGCGGTGGTCAGGCCGGCGTCCGAGCTGAATGACCTTGGCGTATAGGTCGAGGTCGGTCTGCAGGGCACGGTCAAAGTCCCTCCAGTGCACAAACTTCACCTGCTCGCTGGGAATGGCGTTGTTGTCCAGGAGTTCGATGAGGGTATTGGAGTTGACGGGCTGCACCACGTTCAGCTCCTGCTCCTTGCCACCGGACTCCTCGCCTGAAGGCAGTCGGCGCTTAGTAGGAGACACGTCTATGTCCCACAACCAGGCCATCAAGGGAGTGACTCCTGACTGTAGACCAGGTTTGGGATTTAAAACTGAAGGATTCAGAGGCTTCGCTGAAAACTCACCTGTTCGCTTCGTCCAATGCGAGGAATGGTCTTCAGGTTCTTCATGGCAAAGCTTTCACCACGTTTTCCCAAACGAGGAACATTCTTCGTGATCTTCAGAAAGAATCCTGGACTATCATCCGCCCGAACGATGGCCACCAAAGGCAACAGGATCAGCAAAGCAAGAAGAGTTAGGGATCTCATTCCGATGCCACTGTCGCTTGACCTGACACTTGCTTTGAAGTTGAGGGCTTTTATATCCGACCACCCGCCCTCATCGTGGCGGAACAAATATGCTGGTGTTCTTGAAATTAGCATTATCGATCCCTAGTTGGATGTTCGGGGTAGGAAGTCAGGTTGGAATGCCCTAAATATGCAAAACAGATTGTAGTCAAGATAATTAACAGTTTGGTAATCAATTTTCTTTGCATAATGTACTTTATTTTATTAACAATAATAAATAATTTAAGGAATTTTATAGGACACAACCTATTCGGGGCTAGATCAGCGAGCTCTGGGCCCACTGAGCTACTTCTGTGGGCAGGGCCTGGTAGCGCTGCACCGCCTGTTGAATCTGGCCGTAGGTCAGCGCCAACTTGTGCTTCTCAAACTCCTTTTGGACCTTGCCGCTGGAGCTGCTGCTAACAGAAACGGGCATGATCAGCTCTCCAATGCGAAGGTGCTCAAAGGCCTTGAGAACGATGGACCGCTCCATGCCCTGCATCGTGGAGGACACCTTGGCGAACTTGGAGAGGCGCGCAAATATTATCTCAAAATTAAACGGATCTCGATCGTTGATCTCGGAGTGGTGCTTGATGGCTATGATGAGACACAGCTCGAGGACGGAAAGCCCGCAAAGGAGTTCTATCTTGTCGTCACACTCGTACTGATTGGCCATAGTTCTCAACTGGTCGGCTGTGATATTGGGCGTTTCCGGGCGAACTTGGGCCACCAGCCGGAAGAGGAAGTTCCGGAGAAAGGCTTCACTAATGTCAAAGTCGTAGAGCATCTGCAGGCTGCGTTGCGCATGCTGAGTGGCCAGCATTTTGTGGAGCTGCGTGTTCCAGGTTTTTCTAAACGACTGGTCGATCTCTTCACCGTCTGCCGGGTCGAAATGTTTACGCCCCAAACTCAGTGCTTCCGATTGAATTTTGCTCAGCCGGCGCAATCGAGCCGAAGCTAGCTCTAGTGACTTGTTCTCGGGCAAGGACAGCAGTTCCTCGACTCTGGCCAAGTACTCCTCGAAACGCCCGGAGTTGGGGAACAAAAAGACCTGACGATGGGAGAAACGAGACTTGACTCTCTTCTCCAGGAGCTCGATCACGTCCAGGCGACAAGTGACGCCCAGAACACATATAGGCGCCTGGGCTGACTGGGAGACGTCGAAGAGATTGTAGAGCAGTGTCTGGTTGTGATGTGCGCAGAACAGGTCAAACTCCTCCAGAATGAAGACGACACTCTTGGACTGCCGGCCGCCCGCTTTGAGGCACTGCAGTAGGAATGCAAGGTTTTCGGCAAATGATCCGAAAACCTTACCGTCCGCGGCGTTCTCCAGCCGCATCTGTAGGGTTATGGACTTGAGGGCCACGCGGTCGTCCGTGTGCAGGTTTCCGTCCAGGTGTACAATCAACGTGTTTTCCACAAAGGATCGGTTGTCAATCAAATCCGTGAGTACAGCGTTGATGAGCTATGGAATATGAAGCATAACTAACCATGATGTGGATGTCTATCTCGTTCCATCCTTACCGTCGTCTTTCCTGCGCCCCTAGGACCAATAAGGAGCAGGGAATTGGACTCCCCCATTTCGGCAGTGCGCTGCAGAAGCTGGCGCACATTGGAGCGCTCCTCCTTGTAGCCGTGCAAGGTGGTGTAGTCCCGCTGCAGGCGAGCCTTCAGGAAGCGTCGTACCTTGGCCAGTGTCTTTGCCTTATCCTTCTCGTTGCCCCCCAGCATCTTGGTTTGGAGGCCCTTTGGGTTTGTTTACAGATTTGGGGGAAGCACAAAACGCGCGGCAATAAACAAACAAAACTAATTGCAGATGTTGATCTGTTGAAAAAGGTTGGCAGCTCCATTGGATCTCTAACGACCTGGTGGCATCTCTACAAAAACGACATGGCAGCACTGTTGTGTCGAATTGGGCCACAGCCTCATGTAGATACTCCATAGATGGCGCCCAAGTATAACTGAAATTTATTTAAATGGAGTTCGTTCTTAACTTAAATTTATACAAAAATAATAAGTATTGTGCAGTCCGTAGCTTTAGTTTTTATTTCTAGGAAGCTATTATTTGAGGATAAATTTAGAAAGTACTTATATATATATATATATATGGACATTATTATTAAATACGACTCCTAAACAACGTGCCACTTCGGATATCGATTAGCTTTAATGTCGATCGGAGCAGCAATGAACCGTGATAATAACACTATTTACTCCATTTTGTGTATTTCGGGCTTTTGGGCACTTTTTATTATATACCCCCAACAGTAACCAGAGAGCATGAACACGCAGTGGATTATTCTTCTGATTTCGATCCCACAGATCCCCGGATTTCTTGAGTTCAACAATGTGCGCTGCATTGTCCGGGATAAGAAGTTCATGGAGTATGACTACTGCTTCTTGAAGTCCGTGAACCGCACTTTCAAGTACCTGTCCCTAAAGACCAAGATCCACCGTCTACCTATTGAAGAATGTGTGGTAATGTGAAACTCCTCTCTTATGGTGATTTCTTTCTGGTACTCTTGTACACTCGTGTCTTTTTGGCATTCTGGCAGACTATGGTCCAGATTCGACAGCGGGAGAACCGAAGGATTCTGTACAACTTCGACGTGAAACTGGATGGTTGCAAGTTCCTGCGGGATCGCAGCAACGTCGTGGCCAACTGGCTTTATCAGATCTTTGAACCCTTCTCGAACATGAACCACACCTGCCCATATAACGTGAGTGGTTACTGTCGATGTTACTGTCTCCTGTTGACCTTCCCGCCTGCAGCACGACATCATTTTGGAGAAAGTGCCGGTACAGTATGTGAATAAACTCATCCAGACAGTCATTCCCGATGGCAGATTCTACATAAACTCCTCCTGGGTCGTTGGGGGCATCACGCGTACCGATTTCCTCATCTACTTTACGAAGTCCTAGGGGTTCCTAATCGTATATGGAGGGCCTGGCTGGTTGTCAAACAGGGACTTCAACCACAGAATCCCCTAAAAAATGGTCCTTATATGACTGTGTGTGTCTGTGGCCCACATTGGTCCTTTCCATTCCTCCCTATTAACTTCCAATAACATAATTTTTATTGGGTTTTATTTGCAGATCGAGAATTTATTCAATATACGAGTAAAGTGCGTGTAAATCTATGAAATTGTTTTAAAAATCGAAAAGGCATCATCTATCATTGATCCGCCCCCGTTCTTAGCGGGATATACATCATGGCAGTCATAATATCCGGAATTTTCATATTTCCATGCCTTTGTGTTCAAAAAAAGAGCTTCCATAGCACACAAAAACTAGGCGAGTCATCACAACGAGTGGACAGACGCGATCACTTAATTACCTGTGCGAACCTTCCGGAGTAGGAAAGCCGCTGGTACAGTGATCACCCGCTGGAGGAGCACAGGAGGAGCTCTAGAGCGGACCGGTTGCTGTCGGCGCAGCCTGACATTCACACCTTGTTAATTATGCGCACGGTCATGCAAAAATCGCGTAATGAGTGAGTGACGGCCATTGAGAGTTGCATTGTCAGCGGACGATGATAGTATAATTGTGCGGGCCGGTGGTGGGGCACCGGGAGCAGACTTTGCCCCAGTGGAGTCCAGAACACCTCCAACTCCCTCCACCGGCAGTCTCTTTTGGCTCTCGACATCCTAGCAAAAATGGAGGGCCGTGGGCTTCACCCGGCCGTACTCGCCATTCTCGGTGGGCGGCACCTTGGCCAAGTTTAGCTCTACCTCCAGAGACCGGGGCCCCTTGCTGGACTTCTTCACGTCCTCGTACAACGGCGAGATATTCTTGCCCAAGCGCCGGCGCCGGGCGTAGAGGTCGAAGTGCTTCGCGCCGTACTCCTGGCGACTTTCCTCGTAGATCTGGTTGATCCTGCGATAGTGGCACTCCTGCATCTTGGGGAACCACGAGAAGCGATCAATCCAGGCCCTGGTGGTCATGTCCATTCGGTGGGTGAACGCGAGCTGGTAGCGCAGCTGCTCCGTGGTGACGATGTCCGCCGGCATTTTCGGTATTTTTTTGTTATGGCGTGTTAGGAATGGGTGAAAAGTATGTAGTTTACTGCTGACGAAGTGAGTCTGTACTGTCAACCTTTGGGAGAGGTATTGTGCAACGCCAATGTGATTGGCAGCTCCTCTTGAAGCCCTCCCTAATCCTATTAGCAGCCACTTGACAGGACGACAGGTGCAGTGCCTCCAGCTGGCAGCTGTGCGAAAAAAAATGCATCATCCTTGTCTTTGAAACAAAAGAGGACAGGTCGGATAAAAAATGGAAGAGATGACATAAGTCGTAAGAGTTACAGGCTACAAAGGACTCTGCCAACTAAGGAAAAGCTTTAATTTTATTATGCTATTTTCAGCAGGATTCAGAAGACAATCAACTTCTGATTTTGGCCATCCCGAACCACTGACTAATCTGATGAATGTGGGCATTCGGACAGCTGCTCCCCCCAATACCAATCCCTGTCCGAGTTCTTCACGGCCCGGAGACGTAAGCCCAGGTGTCATAGCGGAACTTCCAGGCGGTGTATGATTTAAAAGTTCCCTATGCAAATTACCGGAAAACTTTCAACGAGCCTCGGCCATCTATGGCTATTGGTGGCTCCGCAAGTGGAATGCCAATGCAAGTGTGCAAATTACACAAAGAGAACGCGAACTTTAAGCCAAGTTCCGAACTGGGCCAGGCGGCGGCGACTCATTAGACACATGCCAGCATTCACAGGCCGGGAGGAATCATGGGGGTGGTGGCCCATGGATGGATACACCTTTTACGGGGATGAAGAGGGCTGGGGTTGGGGCTGGGGCTGGGGCAGGCGTATCTGTGGGTGGACAGCCGGAGAACGCGTGTGAAAAATCAGGTAGCAGTGGCCCACAAAATCGGCGAGCTCGCAATTAAACGGTAGCAGATAATTGCTATCGAAAGCCGTAATGATGGCCAGATCAGTACTTAGCCAAGTATATGTGGTTTTTGGCCGGCATATAGTACCTGGCCATATCTTGATTGGAGTGTTGAGAGCTTTGTGCCTGTTTCTCGGCTCCCCGGCCCATTGTTTGCACAATTTTCCCATCCGAATCACAATCGATGCGAAATATTCGGAGACCATTACTTTTCTGTTGAATCATCCCGCCAGCCAGATTTTGGACGATTTTGGGAAGCCAAAAACAAAAGAAGTGACAGCAGAAAAAACAGCTCAGGCCAAGAGAATGCTGCGCCGTTCAAAACAAATAAACACGAGACACCTTCCGTGAGGAGTTGCGAGGGGGTACTACATTCTCGGTTCAGGCCTGACCGGGTCAGGGGTCAACCCCTTTTCCACGGGCTGGACTGGGTAAACAACATTTGCGGATTTCACGCCAGGGATCAGACAGAATATTTGATCCTATAACAACTCGGCCAGGACAATGGCCAATGGCCAGAGGATTGACTGACTGGCGCCATGTCTCAGGTCAGGTTTTGGCCAGGACCGGCACCGGATTAGGGCGTAAAAGGACATAATCCAGTTTTGCATCGAGTCCGCTCTGTGGCAAGCGCAGGTAGAACAGGTTCGAGTTTCTGCAAACAGGAAAAGCCAAATAAAATAATAAAGAAGCAAATGCTGAGGCCGAAAACATTAAATAAATAAAAGTCAACGGCAGTCGGCAGTCAGTCAGCCAGCTCATAAACGCCGGGCCCAAACTTCAAATTAAAACGCCATCGGGGCTTTGGCACGCATAGACTGGAGTGGACTGGGCAATGGGGTCTGGGGCTGGCATCCCAAGTCCGGAGCCAAGTCCGGAGCCGGGGTCGTTCATCAACTCTTTATGGTTTGCCGCCGACTCGCCGACTGCCCATAAGCCAATTTGCCAATTTCATAAACTCGGTTTGATTTGCCGCCAAAAACACAGAATAAGACAAAACGAACCACAGAGCCAAGCTCAAAAATCCAACTCGAAACCCCAAAAACGCCCCCAGGCCGGGCAGACAAAATTCCGACTTCCATTTGGATATGTTGTTTACGTGGAAAGTGGCAACAAATCGAAGTTGGCCTAGACCCAGGGTATCCATCAATGGCCATCAGAACCAAAAAGACAGGGGAGTTGCTGAACCTTCAGAGAAAAGGGTTGGGTTAATGAGAATAATTAAAAGACAGAGTAAATGATTGAATTTAATTAAGAAGAAATCACTCTTTCCTAAGATTTGATCAAATATGAGTATGTTCTTTTGACAAAATGTTCCTAGATCCTGGAATGGGAGAGTGGCTAAGAAGCCTACCCCCCTTTTGGACTAACAGGCCGACAGCGCCACTGGCCAAATTACACTTATGGCCATAATTCAATCAGCGCATTATCAATCACCGCGGCTACTTGTCTTGGCCAGTGAGTCAAGTCAATCAGCCATCGCCTCGCGTTCGCTCGCCCTCTCGCTTCCTCGGAGCGCCTGTCCCGCTTGCACTTGAGCGGGGAACATGTTTGAAAGTCATTAACTTAAATGATTCACTTTCTGAGCCATAAATTTCGCCACTAACTGGCAACTTGTGGCTGGAGAGAAGCCAGTCGCAAAAACGCTGGCAGAAATGTCTTGACGAAAAATTGCTAAATAATCGTCTTAAATGAGTCTATAAAAATCGGAATAGAGCTCCGATCGGTAAGATCGGCCGATGGGAGCTCCCGACCCAGAAGCCAAAGTGTTTTCGGGCCCAAAGTGAATTTTCATTGCCAGCGGAAGTCGTAAATCAATTTTTTCATCTACCGAAAGAAAGAAAAAATGGGGAAAATGCCCAAAACTAAGATCTCCCAGTCGAAATATGGATTCGGGCCTAGAAATCCGGGACCGAACCGCACGGCAGAGGGGGGAGGCAGGCGCCTCTCTTGGAGAAGCATCCGCTACCCAGAGATCCGATGTTTGTGGCTACACCGACCAATTTCGGCTAAGACGACAGCCATAATGATAGGGGCCACTTTTGCCGCCACCGCCGCCGCCGTCGCTGCCGCCACGCACGTTATATGTATGGCCGAACGCGAAGGGGGCGGAGGCAGGGGCGTACGAAACGGAAAGGGGCAACTTGTCAGACAATGTATTTGGGTTCCATCTACGTTTCCGTTTCAATGTTTCCAAGACGCCATCACGAGAATGTCAGTGCGGGAACAACGCAACGACGACATCTCACGCACTAGCCGAGGGCCAGTGTCGGAGGGAAATCCCTTGACATGACTTTGTTTCAAATTAATATTTTAATAATAAGAATAATATTTAATAATATTTGATAATTATGACATGCAATGAAAAATCACTTGTTCGGTACGATTCCTACCTTCAAGGTAAACCAGGTCTTAATGCGAAAAGGTTTCTGAGTCGAATCCCGATATTAATTATTTATTTATGAATATAGATTGTTTTATTTTCATTTGTTAATGGATGTTAATGGGACATGGCTACGATAGATGTGTATATCTTTGCCAATTTGCATTCGATTCTTGAATAGAATACCTCAAAAGAATTATAGATCAATTCCCCTTTGAATTGCATCAAAACCTGGACACAAATTTTTGGATGTTCATTCCAATGTTCATATCTTGGCCAATTTTTATCAGATGAGCGGAATACCTTAAACGATTTCTAGATCGATTCTCCACCAATCTGCATCAAAACCTGGACACCAATTTATGGATTGATATTTTTCAAATTTTTTTGGGAGGGTCCCCTGGCAAAATCCGGGATTTCCGGGATTTCCATATATGACCCATTCCAATGTTCATATCTTGGCCAATTTTTATCAGATTCTTGAGCGGAATACCTTAAACGATTTCTAGATCGATTCTCCTCCAATCTGCATCAAAACCTGGACACAAATTTTTGGATCCATATTTTTCAAATTTTTGTGGAGGGTCCCCTGGCAAAATCCGGGGTTCCGGGATTTCCATATATGACCCATACAAATGTTCATATCTTGGCCAATTTTTATCAGATTCTTGAGCGGAATACCTTAAACGATTTCTAGATCGATTCTCCTCCAATCTGCATCAAAACCTGGACACAAATTTGTGGATCCATATTTTTCAAATTTTTGTGGAGGGTCCCCTGGCAAAATCCGGGGCTTCCGGGATTTCCATATATGACCCATACCAATGTTCATATCTTGGCCAATTTTTATCAGATTCTTGAGCGGAATACCTTAAACGATTTCTAGATCGATTCTCCACCAATCTGCATCAAAACCTGGACACCAATTTTTGGATCGATAATTTTCAAATTTTTGTGGAGGGTCCCCTGGCAAAATCCGGGATTTCCGGGATTTCCATATATGACCCTTCCAATGTTCATATCTTGGCCAATTTTTATCAGATTCTTGAGCGGAATACCTTAAAAGATTTCTAGATCGATTCCCCACCAATCTGCATCAAAACTTGGACACAAATTTTTGGATCCATATTTTTCAAATTTTTGTGGAGGATCCCCTGGCAAAATCCGGGGCTTCCGGGATTTCCATATATGACCCATACCAATGTTCATATCTTGGCCAATTTTTATCAGATTCTTGAGCGGAATACCTTAAACGATTTCTAGATCGATTCTCCTCCAATATGCATCAAAACCTGGACACAAATTTTTGGATCGATAATTTTCAAATTTTTGTGGAGGGTCCCCTGGCAAAATCCGGGGTTCCGGGATTTCCATATATGACCCATACAAATGTTCATATCTTGGCCAATTTTTATCAGATTCTTGAGCGGAATACCTTAAACGATTTCTAGATCGATTCCCCACCAATCTGCATCAAAACCTGGACACAAATTTGTGGATCCATATTTTTCAAATTTTGTGGAGGGTCCCCTGGCAAAATCCGGGGCTTCCGGGATTTCCATATATCACCCATACCAATGTTCATATCTTGGCCAATTTTTATCAGATTCTTGAGCGGAATACCTTAAACGATTTCTAGATCGATTCTCCTCCAATCTGCATCAAAACCTGGACACAAATTTTTGGATCGATAATTTTCAAATTTTTGTGGAGGGTCCCCTGGCAAAATCCGGGATTTCCGGGATTTCCATATATGACCCTTCCAATGTTCATATCTTGGCCAATTTTTATCAGATTCTTGACCGGAAT